GTGATACGAGTGAATACGTTCATGGGTTACCCCGTACAATGTCAGTTGTCAAAAACACATTTTGTTCAAGGAATAAAAACATGTCAGACACACATAATACACAATAATTCATCTTTCACGTCCCAGCTTGTGTAAGCCGAATCTTTTTTCGATATCTGCTCTCATAACACACCACCACGCTAATTCGCCGTGCTATCGTCATCGGCAAAAGTGGCTGGGAAGCGTCTGGGTTTTGGTGGAACATTCAATGACCTAAGCATTCAAGAATGTGTGCATGTACATCATTAGCCATTTTGTCAATCCACTGCTGGATGATGGCCTCCCCACATCGTCTGCGCGGGTTGCTAAAGGGCGAGGCCCAGGACTGGGAATCTAACGCAAATCGTACGGTATCATAGCACAGTGCGCTCATCACTACACCACCACTCAAAAAGTTCCATTATTATATCATGTGGTCGGCTACTCCGATTTTCTTTCTCTCTGTATATTGGGGTCATATCGTGTGCCACTTCTGTCGTCACATCGCACTATCCTCATATGTGACTCCACCGCATCCTCCCGTCTCACCCTCGGTCTCCCTACACTGGCAGCATCTACTTTCCCCCTGATCTACATAGGCCCTCGAATCTTCTTTGTCTCTTCTCAGCACCTTGGTGTTCGAACCATATACAGAGTCCATCCTCCCTCTAAAGCTACAACGTATTTATTCCTCCTCCTCCTCGACCTTAGAGATGATCCCAACATCTACCTTAGCATTCTTGTTTCTGCCCTTTCAAACACTCTCTTCTCTCTTCTTGGTGCTTTTGGTAAAGTCACGTAGAATGGAAATAATAAATTAATTAAAGTAAAACATAATAAAATAATTCTCACGACGTTTCGGCCACAACGAAAGCAGCCGTCCTCAGGTGGAGAACAGGTCTGTCGAGGAGACAGAGTTTGACTCTGTCTCCTCGACAGACCTCTCTGGGACTTGTCTCCTCGACAGACGGCTGCTTGCGTTGTGGCCGAAACGTCGTGAGAATTATTTTATTATGTTTTATTTTTATTATTTTATTATTTCCATTCTACGTGACTTTACCGAAAGAACCAAGAAGATGAGAATCAGAATCAGAAACGGTTTTAATCGCCATGTAAGTTTGCACAAACAAGGAATTCACTATGGAGGGACGGTGCATACATTGAACAAGTAGGAATCTTAACTTATATAAAAGGTATACACTCTAACTATACTAACGTTACAAAGTATAAGTAATACCAAAGGGCTAAAATCTTTAAAATTATGAATAAGTAGACCTTATAAAATGCGAATGTAAAATGTTAATTAGCCGTATTAAACAATCTTAAAATACAAAAATACTAATAAGTTTACACGTTGTAAGTATGGAAAGGTGTAATTATGTAGATAAAATGTTATAGTAAGTGTAACAGTCATGCAGTCACGAAAGCTTTAAATCGAAATCCTTTGTTACCACGTCTCTGCAACAAATGCATAGCTTGGCCAGCATCTATGATAATGACAGTGTATCCACCAGCCCCCGCGTTGCCCACGTCAACTCCGTCAAGTCCCAGAGCGGCCACGATAATGAGCTGGGCATGAAGGCGATTGCAGCAAGAGTTTTCGCAAATCAGTGATTTGATCGCGGCGTGAGGTTGACTGCTCGCTCATGCGGCACGGGCTATTTCCGCCATCGAGTGCTCAGTGCGGTATTAATTAAAGGCAACCACTTCGTAGGACCCAAAGGGGCCAAAATCCCCAAAGTCTATTGTGCAAGTCATAAGCCAGGGATTACTATAGCTTAGGACTTTATAATTATTATGCTTGTTTACCCAGGAAAGCCTCTCTGAGTCTCAAGGCTCTGTTTCAGGAGAATACGGACAAGCTTTTGCAATTTTGGAAAATATTTTTATGCCAGAAAGGGTAACCCCTTTTTTTCATCAATGTAGGTATGTGTGATCCCAGTCGATATTTGTTCAGCAATTAGATGTTTGGCAAGTGCCAATTTTTTTGGGAAGAAGCTTATTTTCATTGGCCATGGGAGGAAACTGGAAAGCCTGAAAGAAACCCATGCAGAACAGGAGGAGACCATACGAACTGAATCCAGGATCTTCTTGCTGTGATCAGGCAGTGAACATTTGCATGTTACACTTAAGAGTTCACACAAGCACCGAGTGACATCATATGATGGCTGCAAGTATTTCTGACAAATAATCTGGGCCAGAGTGGTCGGTGGAAATTGTTTAGAGTGATATGAATTTAGCATAGGCGTATCAATTCAATAAAATCATGTTATTTTTGTATTTTACCAGGTTCGGCCCATTGAGCTATATAGTGGAAATTTACAGCAGCCAAATACTCTAAACGTACGTTTATTAATGTGGAGGGAGAAAATCGGCGGACCCGGAGAAAAATCTACACGACCACAGGGAGCGAGACATGCAAACTCCAACTTTCACAACAGGTGTCAGGGTTGGGATCGAACCCGCGACCTCCTTCAATACCAGGCGAAGGTGCCAACATCTCGCCACCGCGGCGCCCTTTTAGCAGCAGCCTTTAGCAACACCTCTCGTGCATGGTGATCGCCCATCCAGGCTCCATCCAAACTCCATCCAGGCTCACACCTGCTTAGCTTCTGACATGTTATTGGATTGGGCGCATTCCGGGAGACTTGGTCATAGGCCAGTTCGATGTACGTTTGAAACACATACACGGGCATAACTCCAATCCCACTAATTATTATTGTAACTCTACTCCCATTCATACTCCTACCCCTACCTCTGCAATCACCAACTCTATCGTTGCTAACGTGTCAGGCCGTGCCGGATTAGGCTAGTGCGGGGCCTGTAGCATATGTTATAAAGGGGCCCTAAATTTAAAATACACATACATATTAAAACACACATTTTTAACTTGCATAGTAAAGTAATTGTATTTTTTTATTTGCCAGGTAATACGACAAATCGCTCACCTTAAACACCCAGTCGTTCATAAAAATTGAAGGCGGTATAGTACTATAGTAATAGAGCAAGTGCAGAATCACTGAACCGGAATTGATAGCTTGAAAGAATTTAGCGCGGGGCCCTTGAAATTGCGGGTCCCGTAGCATGCTACGAGTTTGAACCGGCACTGGCCAGGCCTGTCCATGACGTTCAGGTATAGTGTCTTCGTGCATTGAGCTTTGAGGGTGAATTCGCCGCACACATGGCATCACTGCCACCTGCTGCATGACGACGGTGGCACGGGCGACGCAATGCAATACGGAATAAAACCACGGGATTCAAGGCTTTTTTAAATCCTTTATATTAAGTTCACTCGCTTGCTTGCTTGCGTGCTTGCTTGCTTACGACCGTGCAAATCTTTCGGTCGTTTTTTAACTCACTTCCCGTGATCCAATCGAGCTGACATTTTCCACACAGACTCGTTGTGCGTGACAATTAATGTTCGTGAAAAAATATTTCCTAAATGTTACACTTTTTAGGACAAAAATATTATATTTAATTACCAATTGCTTAATGCTGCCATGCCATCATCTGACCCATAGGTGGCAGCCATCTCAAGCCAGAGGACGAGAGGACTCTAGCCGCCACGCATATAAAGGATTTATAGTGAAAAACTTTGTTTTTACGGCTTATACTTGTTTCTATTGCGGTAAATTAAATTTCTGCGATTGGTGGGGGCAAAAGGCACGAGCACTGGACTACTGCTTCATCTCGAAATGTGAAGCTCTCCGTGACGGTTTTATAGTGAAGGGCGCCAATGATAAATCTCACCGCGGCACCCGCTGTGGCCGTGAGATGTTTACAACCTCGCCTGGTGTGCAAGGAGGAATCGTGGATTTTATCCAGACCCTGACGCCAGCTGTATATTTTGGAGTTTGCGTGTCTCTCTCTCTCTCTGTCTCTCTCTCGCTGTCACCTCTCCACGTGGATTTTTCTCCTCCAGAATGGACATCATCACGGCTTTTAAGGGGCCGTCCATAAATGACGTCACGCACCTGGGGGGGGGGGGGGGTGAGACATTTGTGACGATGTGTGACGAGGTGGGGGGGGGGGGAGAAATGTGACGTCACATCAAAATTCGCAACTTTCAATAAATATAGACAACGCGTTCTACTTAATTAAATAGACTTTTTAATAAATGTTTTCTCCTACAACATCAGAGTGCAGCGCCACATTAAATACGCACTACAATGACAATAGTTTAAAGCGATTTGAAGCATGTTTTATATTTTTGGGGGGGTGGGGGGCAGAGCTTTGTGACGTCATATTTGAGGGGGGGGGTCTGACTTTTTGTGACGCCGTGTTACGATGGGGGGTGGGGGGGTAAAAAATCGTCCAAAGTCCCGTGACGTCATTTATGGACGGCCCCTAAAGAGGAGGGTTTGGGATGCTCTCAATGTCCACACTGATACGCCGAATTCGTCGAGCTGTCATTTGTGATGACCAGGGTTGCTTCTGAGATTATTTTTACAAAAAAATTTACATAAATAATTCGTGAGCTCGTAAGTAGTAAGGGGCCGTCCATAAATGACGTCACGCGATTTTGGACGATTTTTGACCCCCCCCCCCCCTCGTCACACGGCGTCACAAAAAGTCAGAGCCCCCCTCAAATATGACGTCACAAAGCTCTGCCCCCCCCCCAAAAAAAAAAATAAAACATGCTTCAAATGCGCTTTAAACTATTGTCATTGTAGTGCGTATTTAATGTGGCGCTGCACTCTGATGTTGTAGGAGAAAACATTTATTAAAAAGTCTAATTAATTAAGTAGAACGTGTTGTCTATATTTATTGAAAGTTGCGCATGTTCACGTGACGTCACATTTCTCAACCCCCCCCCCCTCGTCACACATCGTCATAAATGTCTCAGCCCCCCCCCCCCCCCTAGGTGCGTGACGTCATTGTTGGGGGTTTTTTCTGAGTGTTCGGGGGGGCAGGTGGGGGGTTTAATGAAATCGCGTTTCGCGAAGCGGCTCAGCCGCGCGACTCTCCGTAGATCCCTGCGCAGGTGACGTCACACGCCCGGGCAGCATGGCGGAGCACAGCATGGAAGGTGAGGCCGCTGGCGATTTTGGGGGGTAACGAAGGCAACGGGGTAACGGAGGTAACGGGGTAACGGAGATAACGGGGTAACTGAGATGACGGGGTAACGGAGATAACGGGGTAACGGAGATGACGGGGTAACGGAGATAACGGGGTAACGAAGATGACGGGGTAACGGAGATAACGGGGTAACGGAGATGACGGGGTAACGAAGATGACGGGGTAACGGAGGTAACGGGGTAACGAAGGCAACGGGGTAACGAAGATGACGGGGTAACGGAGATAACGGGGTAACGAAGGTAACGGGGTAACGAAGATGACGGGGTAACGAAGGTAACGGGGTAACGGAGATGACGGGGTAACGAAGGTAACGGGGTAACTGAGATGACGGGGTAACGGAGATGACGGGGTAACGAAGGTAACGGGGTAACTGAGATGACGGGGTAACGGAGATGACGGGGTAACGAAGGTGACGGGGTAACGGAGATGACGGGGTAACGGAGATGACGGGGTAACGAAGGTAGCGGGGTAACGGAGATGATGGGGTAACGGAGATGACGGGGTAACGGAGATGACGGGGTAACGAAGGTAGCGGGGTAACGGAGATGACGGGGTAACGAAGGCAACGGGGTAACGGAGATGACGGGGTAACGAAGGCAACGGGGTAACGGAGATGACGGGGTAACGAAGGCAACGGGGTAACGGAGATGACGGGGTAACGGAGATGACGGGGTAACGAAGGTAACGGGGTAACGGAGATGACGGGGTAACGAAGGTAGCGGGGTAACGGAGATGACGGGGTAACGAAGGTAACGGGGTAACGAAGGCAACGGGGTAACGAAGATGACGGGGTAACGAAGGTAACGGGGTAACGGAGATGACGGGGTAACGGAGATGACGGGGTAACTGAGATGACGGGGTAACGAAGGTAACGGGGTAACGGAGATGACGGGGTAACGGAGATGACGGGGTAACGAAGGTAGCGGGGTAACGGAGATGACGGGGTAACGAAGGTAACGGGGTAACGGAGATGACGGGGTAACGAAGGCAACGGGGTAACGGAGATGACGGGGTAACGGAGATGACGGGGTAACGAAGGCAACGGGGTAACGGAGATAACGGGGTAACGGAGATGACGGGGTAACGAAGGTAACGGGGTAACGGAGATGACGGGGTAACGAAGGTAACGGGGTAACGGAGATGACGGGGTAACGAAGGTAGCGGGGTAACGGAGATGACGGGGTAACGAAGGTAAAGGGGTAACGAAGGCAACGGGGTAACGAAGATGACGGGGTAACGAAGGTAACGGGGTAACGGAGATGACGGGGTAACGAAGGCAACGGGGTAACGGAGATGACGGGGTAACGAAGGCAACGGGGTAACGGAGATAACGGGGTAACGGAGATGACGGGGTAACGAAGGTAACGGGGTAACGGAGATGACGGGGTAACGAAGGTAGCGGGGTAACGGAGATGACGGGGTAACGAAGGTAACGGGGTAACGAAGGCAACGGGGTAACGAAGATGACGGGGTAACGAAGGTAACGGGGTAACGGAGATGACGGGGTAACTAAGGCAACGGGGTAACGGAGATAACGGGGTAACGGAGATAACGGGGCTAATGTTGACGTGCTTACCGTGAAGAGAACGGCGTTCAACGTGGGCTTGGTCGAGGCAGTGTTGGTTGCTGGAGGTCTGCGGGCAAAGAGCTTTGTCGCTCTTCGGATTCCTCCGGTATAGATGACAGATTTTGAAGGTGGTTAATGGGGATATTGAGCGGTTAGTAGGGGCACAGTGGGGCTACTAAGGATGATGTGTTAATGTGGTTAATGCTGTTAATGTGGTTACTGGGGTTCATGTGGTTACTGGTGGGTCAGTAGGGACACTGGGGTTAATAAGGATGATGTGTTCATGTGGTTACTGCAGTTAATGTGGTTACTGGTGGGTCAGTAGGGACACTGGGGTTAATAAGGATGATGTGTTCATGTGGTTACGGGGGTTAATGTGGTTACTGGTGGGTCAGTAGGGATAGAGTTGGGTTAATAAGGATGATGTGTTCATGTGTTTACTGGGGTTAATGTGGTTACTGGGGTTCATGTGGTTACTGGTGGGTCAGCAGGGACACTGGGGTTAATAAGGATGATGTGTTCATGTGGTTACTGGGGTTAATGTGGTTACTGATGGGTCAGTAGGGACACTGGGGTTAATAAGGATGATGTGTTCATGTGGTTACTGGTGGGTCAGTAGGGACACAGTGGGGCTACTAAGGATGATGTGTTCATGTGGTTAATGGGGGTTAATGTGGTTACTGGTGGGTCAGTAGGGACACAGTGGGGTTAATGAGGATGATGTGTTCATGTGGTTACGGGGGTTAATGTGGTTACTGGTGGGTCAGTAGGGACACAGTGGGACTATTAAGGATGATGTGTTCATGTGGTTACTGCAGTTTATGTGGTTACTGGTGGGTCAGTAGGGACACTGGGGTTAATAAGGATGATGTGTTCATGTGTTTACTGGGGTTAATGTGGTTACTGATGGGTCAGGGACAGTGGGGCTAATAAGGATGATGTGTTCATGTGGTTACGGGGGTTAATGTGGTTACTGATGGGTCAGGGACACTGGGGTTAATAAGGATGATGTGTTCATGTGGTTACAGGGGTTAATGTGGTTACTGGTGGGTCAGTAGGGACACTGGGGATAATGAGGATGATGTGTTCATGTGGTTACGGGGGTTAATGCGGTTACTGATGGGTCAGTAGGGACACTGGGGTTAATAAGGATGTGTTCATGTGGTTACGGGGGTTAATGTGGTTACTGATGGGTCAGTAGGGATACAGTGGGGTTAATAAGGATAATGTGTTCATGTGGTTACTGCGGTTAATGTGGTTACTGATGGGTCAGTAGGGACACTGGGGTTAATAAGGATGATGTGTTCATGTGGTTACTGCGGTTAATGTGGTTACTGATGGGTCAGTAGGGACACTGGGGTTAATAAGGATGATGTGTTCATGTGGTTACTGCGGTTAATGTGGTTACTGCGGTTAATGTGGTTACTGATGGGTCAGTAGGGACACTGGGGCTAATAAGGATGATGTGTTCATGTGGTTACTGGGGTTCATGTGGTTACTGGTGGGTCAGTAAGGACACTGGGGTTAATGAGGATGATGTGTTCATGTGTTTACTGGGGCTGATGTGGTTACTGGGGTTAATGTGGTTACTGGTGGGTCAGTAGGGACACTGGGGTTAATAAGTATGATGTGTTCATGTGGTTACTGCAGTTAATGTGGTTACTGGTGGGTCAGTAGGGATAGAGTGGGGTTAATGAGGATTATTTTGTTCATGTGGTTACTGGGGGGGGGGGGGTTCATAGGAACATTGTGGGATTAATCGGGATGATGTGTGGTTAATGAAGATATTGGTCTGCATTGGATTTCTGTCGTGTTAATGTCGCTGTCAATTGTCACTTGGACTGACGACCACTAATTAGCACGGTTGGGTGGCTACGTACGGTGAAAATTAAGTTCTTCATACATAAATGTTGCTGATTTTAATGTTCTTGCTGAATGTACTCCTCCGTAATGTTCATGGGATGTGGTTAATGTGCTTGTATTGTTGCTGTGTTGATATTTGGTGTGTTACTAGTGGCGGGCGTGATTGTGATGTGGTTGTTGTATATATTAGTGCCGATGTGAGTAAACATTCATCTGATTGTTGTTGTTATTCGTGGTGTTTGAGCTTGATGTGATGTTTGTCGTTATGAGTGTGATGCTGTACTTGTTGTTGTTGTTATCAGTGGTGTTGTTATTGCCGGCGTGAGCACGAGACGGATGAGTGATTTCCTCACCCCTACGTCAGTTGACAGACGGCCCGAGTCGGAGGAGTCTGCGGATGAGGAGGCGACAGGAGGTGCCGCTTTGAGTCCGAAGCAGCAGCAGCAGCAGCAGCATGGTGCTTGTTCTCTTCCATCACTTACATAATTTACTTAATCGTCATTAACAATTCATCGCTACGTATTGGGACGGAACTGTGGCAGTGTGATAAACCTGGCAGCCCCAGTTCGATTCCCCTAACATCAGTGGCAAGTGATATCTGAAACCCGGTGCTGGGCAAACCCACCCTCGCGCAAAAAATTGACCAGCGTGGTGAAATGTAGTCAAACAATCCCTCGATTGGTTTGATGCCTTCATCCAGCAGTAAAATGACAAAATGGCTGATTATCGTTTTTTAAAATATATATAATATAATCACTGCACTAACACCATTACTAGTATTAATATTAACAGCACACCTCAATTCGCATACTTAACAGCAATCACGGCATTAACAGGCACTTTAACATCACCAGTAACATCGCCGCGCGATTATGGTTACACTACAAAGCATTGATATTAACTTCCTTATATCTTTGTTCTGCACATTTTATCAGACGTGCAGAGGGGCTCGCATTTACATTTTCATTGCAACCTTTGGAACCCATTCCCATTCAAAGCTGAATGTCCTGTAATGTAGGTTCACAGTTTGTGTGTCGACAGCGGCCAAGGCTTGTGTGAAACACTCAGGTTCTCCATGTTCAATGGAGGCAGTGTTTATTCATTAACATAACTGCACGTTGCACATAAAGACCCATGTGTTATTCGGTCTTCAAACGAAAGCCAGTTCGTTTTACGTTTAGCGCTTGACTACATGCATGAAAAAATTAGCTTGTAAGTGATAAAATGCTGCTTTTAAGTGATATAATGATCGAGTGATGTATTTGTTTACGCGACAGAAATACACATTCACTCAGTTTTGTATCGCCCCACGAGCAAAGCTTTTAAACGATTTAATAGCAGATATGTGGCATATAATGCTTTGAACGTGTTTAGTTTAACAGACTCCTGTGCCTATAATTCATTAGCTGTTCTCTAATCCACTGTTGGATGAAGGCCACCCAATGTCTTGTGATGCCGCAATTTGTGTCACTCCTGCACACGAACCGATCTCATTGCTCCATCTCTTTGGTGGGTGCCCTCTGGGCCCCGTCCTCTCCATTGACTGTCATTCCAACCGCCAGTCTTGATGTCTACCACCAATCATCTGTGCTTGTAATGTGTATTTTTTCAAGGACCACTTTCCTGAAGTCAACGTGATGTCGCTGATTTGGGTTTGTTCCCAGGTTCATGTGTTCCTCCATTGTGTGTGTAATTACTGGCTGGAGATTTAAAGATGGACCGCGGGTGTGTAGTTAAAGAATGCTATTTTTTGTTAATTAAGTTTTCCATATGCAATACTGGCTTAAATAAATCAAATATAGAATCTTAATTGACACTGATTAACAATTGTATGGCATTAAATTGGGTGCTGTTGGGTAGACTGCCAATTGGCAACCCAGTTAATTGTTGAATGCGAATTGTTCTGAACATGTTGAAAAATGCAAGGACTCTTTCTACATCAGTACATACAGCTGGTCTTTGATGGCATGTGCACATATAAAGTTCACCCACAAGGTCACATTACATATTGCATAAAGATCAGCGCCAGAATTAGGTATCTTGATCCCCAGGACATTGGCCAGGTGGCTCAGTGGTCGAGCGAGTGGCTCGCAATCACAAGGTTGCGAGTGCAATTCCTCATAGGGGGTTGACTCATCCCATTGTCTTCTGGGGGTCGATAAAATAAGTATCACTATTGTGGGGAAGTCAACAGTGGTTGTACGATGACGTACTTGTACGTCGTCGGAATGGGAAAGCGTTAATATTCGTATTTATACTATAACATCAATTGCCCCTCTAAATTTAGCCCTGCAAGAAATTAACAAATGCGAGTTGGTTCGGTCTGTCAGTGTAAGCGTGCGTATGGTTCGTGTTATGGCTTTTCAGGTCAGAATGAGGTAGCAGTGGATATCACCACCATAGAGCTCAACCCTGATGATGAGGTACAGTCCCACCACAGTGCTACACACAAATGGAATGTCACGTTACATCTGTTGTGGCGTCATGTAAAGACAAACCGAATGCATAAACAAACACAGCAGGAGGACTGCAACGTCAGCTGTCCTGCTGTGTTTGTTTCACACCTGATGACGGTTCCTTGTATTGCGATCGAAACGTCGTGATCAATTATTTTTCCTACCTGCGTGACTTTTCCGAAAGAACCAAAGAGTATGGATTCCTGCAGTCACGAAAGCTTCAAATCAAGATTAATCCGAATGCAATTAATGCCTTACTTTTTTGCAGGAGGTGGACTTGAACCACTGTCGTATTGGGAAGATAGAGCGACTTGAAATCCTGACGAAAGTTCAGGTCAGTACCAGTAAGAAGAATAACTTTTAAGCAAACAAATTGTGCATTCTGTCAACTTGAACATACCACTTTGTTCCAGTAAAAGGGTTATACGAGGAGGCCAATCATCCAGCAGTTGATTGACATAAAGCTGTAATATATTTGTGAAATGGATTTGCTGTATGGTTTTGTATTTTTTTGCTTTTTTTTATTAGAATCACTGCACAAGGTTTGATGGTGTTCAGTGAACTCCGTCATGTAACCGAAGAGTGATGCTATCGGTGCGGTGCTTGGTGTGGGTGTTAATGTTTGCCAGAACAGGTGCTGTGCTTGCGACAAAACATGATAGCCCAGATTGATAACCTGGAGAGCTTGACGACCCTGCGGGAGCTCGACTTGTACGACAATGTCCTCAAGAAGATTGAGAATCTTGACACGCTGGTGAACCTAGAGTGAGTGTTCTTTTTCGTGCCGTCTAATTCACTGTCATCTTTCCAACCTTATTTATGTTGAATGTTGCCATCACTGCCCAAGGCTGCATTCACACATGCTGTTTAACTATAACAGCAGTGGTGCTATGGTACAACATATATATTTTAAAACTTGTTATCCCTTTTCACAGAACACTTCTATTTTTATGAGACCCAATTTCAAGATGCCACCCACGGTAGCGTAAAAGTGACTCATACCTAGACGTATTATAGGATTGGATGATTATTGTCAAATTGTCAACATTTTGCTTGGTTTTCAACTTAACTGATTTGCTGAAAAACAGAATCTCTTGTCACGTTTGCCCACGGACAACTCGATTTGTTAGGCTTTGTCAGGTGATCCAGAGCTGCTTCTCTAATTGACATACCTACACAATCCGACCCACAAAAGAAACCAATGATGAATCGGATGATATGTCATGAAAGCTTACGTGAAATCTTACCAATCACACATAGGTGAACATGTCTTGTAAACAGTACCCCCCTGTGTGTTCTTAAATGTTATTCCTTCAAAGATGTGGTTAGGCTGATGACAGCTAAAAATCCGTGCTTGTTTAATCGCTCTCCATGCTTTGAATCATTCACGGGCCCTTGCGAAAACTGTTGCGCAATGCAGCTGTTTTAAATTGCCTGTGCCAGTACACGTGCATTCATAGCAGCTCTTAAAAACTAACCATTCTACTTGAAACTTACCAATGTTTTTTTTAGACATACCATGAATGTGGGTTATTGTAATTGCTTTTAACAAATGTAATATATTAACATCTTGCATGGTGATGTGTATTTGTGTAAAATTTGCTTGGGGTCAGAATAGTAAGGAGTGTTACATATAGAAGTAGTTTAATGAAGTATTACGAAAATGTTTGCCTCCTTTCCATAATTTTTTGTAAGGTTTAATGCACTTGTACATGACTTTGCTCATATTTCTCTTAATTCCATCTTTTCAGCCTCTATTCCATTGAATACTTCAGTCATGTCTTGTATGTAATTTCTATAGGTTGTATGACTAATCGGCAAGTATGCTGATCGTTAATTTGTTTGCATTTTATAAACATCTACCCATTTGATGACGCGTCGATCAGGATGCTTGACATTTCGTTCAACGTGCTGCGCAAGATCGAGGGCCTGGACACGTTGAGAAAAGTTCGCAAGCTCTTCCTCGTGAGCAACAAGATCACCAAAATCGAGAACCTGAACTCTCTGACTGAGCTGCGCATGCTGGAGGTGGCATCTAACCGCATTCGGGTATGAATTGGCCACCCCTTAACACATTCAAGTCCACAGGTGTGACGCATACAGAACCTGTTCCCTTCATATCCCACGGGCCAATGCTCTCTTCTCAAAAACCTGTAACACGTCACCCCATAGCCATTGTCAATTTCTCAGCAGCTTGTATAGCTGCGTGGTTGGTTATAGCCCAATTACTTGGTTGGGGGTCATCCATTTAGTACGTACGTAAAAATCTGTCAAAACTTGACCGCTCCCCTCCCTCCCTGTACGCACGCGTACTTTTTACACCCCTTCCCCACCTGCATAAGGACGCTTGACGCACCCCTCCCCCCCCCCGAATCCTATAGAACGGCCGATATTTTATCCACGCAGAAACGATCAAGGATGAATAATATTAACATGTTTAAGCAAACAGATAGTCCACCGCCCGACTATCTAACTCATTTGAAGGCCAATGTAGACAAATTATTATTATGGAGGCTTCACCCCCCCCCCCCCCCGTTGCCTATACGTACGTAACATTGTCAGTAGACCCCTCATACGCAAGCTTACGCATTTGAGTTAACTCCCCCTCCCCCCTCCATGAGTACGTACGAAATGGATGGCCCCTCATGCGCTGTTTACTCAGCTGACTTCAAAGTTGTGACAGTTCAAAATAGGGGTGGGACATCTACACTATGGGGACCTCATTTGCCAGTAAAAATATGATAATTGGTTCTTTACCCTTCTATCTGGCAACAAAACTGACACCTTTTTGCAAGGAGTCATGTTTGCATAGACCGCAATACCTGCAGTCATAAATACAAACAAAAGACATAACTCTGATAATGTGCACTGTCCCTGAAGTTGATTGGTCCACACCCGAGACAGCTTTCCTTCGAGCCTAGTCTCATATGGGTTGGACCAGATGACGCCAAAAGGCGCACTTCACCCCCCCCCCCCGACCCATATGAGACTAGGCTCGAAGGAAAGCTGTCTCGGGTGTGGACCAATCAACTTCAGGGACAGTGCACATTATCAGAGTTATGTCTTTTGTTTGTATTTATGACTGCAGGTATTGCGGTCTATGCAAACATGACTCCTTGCAAAAAGGTGTCAGTTTTGTTGCCAGATAGAAGGGTAAAGAACCAATTATCAGGGGTGGGACAATTCACAAACCCTCCACCCCTTCGGTGCTTCGATGATTTGTCAAAAAAAAATCAGCTTCATCTTCAAAAAATTAAGAATGTATATTTTTTGTTGCATGGGTGATGTGAACCCATTTCCATATACAACGTGTCATAATAAAAGAGTAATTGACAGGGGTTTGTCATTCCACTGTGGCCACATTCGCTGGACAAACAGTGCCGAGAACAATGAACCACATTAGTTAAACGTTCATGTAATATCAGACCTCATTTACATACACCACACGTAAACATTCAGATAAAACTATTAAACTAAATTAAAAAAAAATTTCACCATGTCAGGCTCACTGAGCTATATAGCTCTTTTTCAGAAGCGATCTGGCCACAAATGATAGATCAACGAAGTGGCTTATCATGTGGACATGTATAGCAGCCAAATATTCATTTAAATTGGAGGTACACTTTTAAAGAAGTTCTCCATGCATACATACAGACTAGCTGGGTTCATGTGAATGCTACTTAAATTATATTGATAGGAACCACCTGGTTCCACCAGCCCACGGGATTATTGTGTGTGTCCGTCAGTCGTGCATCCAAAAATGGGAGGGGTGGGGCTGGGTGGGGAGGGGAGGGTGGGGAGGGGCTGGGTGGGGAGGGTGGGGCTGGGTGGAGAGGGGAGGGTGGGGAGGGGCTGGGTGGGGAGGGTGGGGAGGGTGGGGAGGGGCTGGGTGGGGAGGGTGGGGCTAGGTGGAGGGTGGGAGGGGTGGGGCTGGGTGGGGAGGGGCTGGTCACCCCGTGGTGCCCTTATAAAACTCAACGTTTAACCTACTCACGCCGGCTTGTGCCCGCCCTCACAGTCGGGCATATTTGCGGAATACACCACGCCGCCGTTGACCCTGGCCATTGACCGAGCAACCCAACGTTCCTACCAGTTCCCTCCGTGTGAATGTGTTAACACTGGCAACCGGTGTGTGATGTTTTTGTTGCCTTTACTCCCTGCAGGTCATTGAAAACATTGAGACTCTAAAGAACTTGGATTCGCTGTTCATTGGGAAGAACAAAATCACCAAACTGCAGAACCTTGACAGCCTCACCAACCTGACCGTGCTTAGTATACAGGTATCAGACCATAGAATAATATATTTAACATTTATTTAAAGATGCTGCATGTTGATTGTTATATGTCTCATCATGCATGTCTCTATGCCAACACTGATTTAAGTCAGTGTAATGATTTGTGTATTCACCACAGTGTAAAAATACGTTCTTATAGTATTATTCTTGTTTACCCAGGAAAACGTCACGCAATCTGCAGACTATTTTACAGGAGGGTCCTGCACAACTTTTTGCGATAAGAGGCAATGTTGCTATGTGTAATTCCAGTTGAGTAATTTGCATGTTATATTTGAACATTGGGATGTTTGGCCAAGAACAGAATAAAACTGCTACATTTCTCGGTTTAATATGAAATAAATAAGCAAGTAACTTTATATGAATGCATTGCTCATGTATGCAAATGTCACCATCAACTGAAGTCCTTAATATTATCTGAGAAAATATTCCAACTTGGTTCGATAAGTGAACTCTTCCATCATAAATCTTGTGCTTGCGTCTCTAACACTACTTGCTTTCCTTTTGTTGAGAGCAGTGGTCTCATCGTCTCATGGATAGACTCACTCCCATCATAGTAATGTGGAATTTACATATGCCACTCACCATAGCTGTTAACAGGATATGGAGCACCGTTTCAAGCTTGTTTGAGCAAACCACCACTTATGACTCTTTTAAGCATCTACATATGCCCTTTGACCCGTTGTCCCGTTGTCAACGCTTACTTATGGGTGCCACGGTGGCGAGATGTTAAATACCTCGCCTGGTATACAGGAGGTCGTGGGTTTGATCTTGACCCTGACGCCTGCATATTTGGAGTTTGCATGTTCTCCCTGTGGTCCGGGTCCTATGGTTTTTCCCTCCACATTTAGAAACTTGTGTTTAGAGTATTTGGCTGCTATATATTTTGACATGATAAGTCACTTCGTTAAAATTTCATTTGTGGCCAGATCGCTTCTGAAAAGAGCGATACAGCTCAGTGGGCCTTTCTTGGTAAAATAAAATAAAGTTTCGTTGAGTTTGCTCCATGTGACCTTTATGCTTCTGTGTCTCTGTGTGTTATCTGTGACCCCAGAGTAACCGGATCACCAAGATAGAAGGCTTGAGCAGCCTTGTGAACTTGCAGGAGCTCTACCTGAGCCACAACGGCATTGAGGTCATCGAGGGCCTTGAGAACAATGTGAGTGTTGTACATTTTTAATTGTTGTTTTTTATATAATATACAGTACGTTGTCTGAAACTCTTTTTGAGATGTGTACTTCCACTGATTACTTTGAAAGCGTTTTTCCATGGTGCTGAGTGAATGTTTTAGTTGATGCCTCCACTGCAGTCCATTTCGCACCGTTTATCTTTGCCCTTCGTGCTGGTGTTTGTACAGAAAAAACTAACGACGTTGGACATCGCCGCCAATCGCGTGCGAAGGATCGAGAATGTGGGCCACCTGACAGAGCTGCAGGAGTTCTGGGTGAGTATTGCTCCCCAGTCCCTTCTCCGCAGCCCACTTAGTGCACTGAGCTGGCACGAGTACTCCCATGATTAATTCAAGGCACAAACACACGTTAGAAAGTGTTCCAAGAAATCCGGCGACTTGAGGCAGGGGTGGCGCGTTCGCCGCTATTTTAAGAAGTTGGAGGTTGGAATCGGGCGGGCCGCCCTGGTTAATACATCGGGTGTACGAACGATAAAATACTAAGTGCACTCTGCTTTATAGTGAATGTTAAAGAGCCTGTGAGATCATTTAAAAAGAATAGGCTATTGTGTTCTGTTGTCATGGTCCCTATTTACAACTTTGAAAAATAATTCCTGCAAATTACTTAATTGCGAATTACACTTGTCAGTCTTTGCCCCCCTACTGTTAAAACTAAAGCTCACTTGCAGGCTCACCTTGTGCCGTATAGGGACAACTGCAATCGGGGTTCCTTTGGAAAAGCTTAAGTGAGATGTGCCCTAGAAAGGCAAAGATCACGATTGTAATTTTTTTATGCATATGCACGATTTTTATTTCTTTAAACGTGCAACGCGGTAATGCCTTAACTTGCTTGCCCTTTGCAGATGAACGACAACCAGATCTCCAACTGGAACGATGTGGACGAGCTGAAGAACGCGCGGGGCCTACAGACCGTCTACCTGGAGCGCAACCCGCTGCAGCGCGACTCACAATACCGCCGCAAGATCATGCTGGCACTGCCGTGGGTACGGCAGATCGACGCCACCTACGTGCGCTTCTAGCGCAAGGCTGAGTGCCGGCGACGATCTTTTTCTCGACACTGAAGATTTGGGAATTTAAATTTTCCGTAGCTTTGTTAGAACAAATATTATTTGGGTGCGTTTTGTTAGCTACAGTACAATGTCGCATATCTGTTCTAGATTTGAAGCTTTTGTGACTGCAAGGATTCATACTCTTAGGTTTTTTCGGTAAAGTCACGTAGGTAAAAAAATAAAAATAGAAATAAAATAATAAATCACGACGTTTCAGAGGCAACACAAGTCTGGTGGGACCGTCACAGCTAAATTTACTGTATCAAGTAACTATATCAAGTAAATGTAGCTGTGACGGTCCCACCTGATGACGGAGACTTGTGTTGCCTCCGAAACGTCGTGATTTATTATTTTATTTATATTATTTTTATTTTTTACCTACGTGACTTTACCGAAAAAACCTAAGAGTATGTCGCATATCTGATTAGCAGGGTCACTGGTTTTGGGCAGATTTTTTTTTAAAAGGTTGGATATGTGAGCGTCTGTCGACAGAAGGTGACAGTTGCGCCATGCACAAATAGGTTACTGGACAAATATACAGCGCTAAACGACTCTTAACATGGGAAAACCGTTGACCTGTCCTTCAGAAGTAAGCGAATGTACGCAGGATTAAGGATACATTATTTCGTATGCAAATGCTGGCTTTGTGAACAACTAGAAAATCACACTTTCATCATGCACAGGGTTTTGGCAGCAAATTGGTCCGGGTGGTTATGTCATGGTCGGATATGTGACGGTCTACTGTATATAAGTTGAAACTCTTTAGTGTAGTAGAAGCAGTACTTAAGTAGAACCTCAAGAGAGCATGAAGCCACTTTTTTGGCTTGAAATTTACTCTAGGGAGACCAGGTCGTCTGGCCTGGACGGTGTGAATATGACAGGCGAGATTTGTGTGCAATTGGATGTGGGGGTATGATTTGTTAAATTGCGTTCCATAGTGTGTCAGGGTATGTTAATGTCGTTTTTTAAAAGTCTGAAAGCGTTTGGGTCTTCCATGTTGCCTCGTATATTGCTTGTGTATGCGTTGTTTTTACCGTGCATCTGACAACATTTCTTTACCATCCTGAGAGGTGCAGTTTCATCGTAAAATGTCAAGTATCCAGAAACCCAATTCAGAAACTGCATTTTAAGCTACTGATGCTTAGAAAAGTGGTTTCAGCATGCACTGTCGAAATCGTTTCGAATATTTGCCCCACATTCTCATTATTCCAGAAACTAGAATTCCTGGCAACATGACAGCTGCATAAATAGCTTCATAGGTATCTCACTAAAAATAGTGGAGCCGTGGATATGCTAAACTGTCTTTACTTTATGCCAGCTCTTTGAAAATGAATAAATTACCGAAAATGTGTCCTAGTTGCTCACTGCCAAGTGCCTCCACTACACCCTTGATGTGGAGGAGCAGCAGTTCACATTTCTTGAGACGTTATGTTCTCATTCATTAAATACATGGGATGAAGTAACAGCGCTAGTTTTTTTTATTTACTGCATGCGTATGTTACAAGTTGTATTGTAATTGTCACATTTGAGTGCTCACACATTACCTGCAAGGAGGCCATTCCTTGCCTGCATTTAACCTCGGCTTCACTAACCCGATGCTTTGCACGTGTATTGAAGATTACAAACCTATAATTCTCCGGTGTGTGTATTCGGGTCATGCCGCATTTTTCCGGCACGATGCCTGTTTCGCTATGTGGGCAGGGAGAATCTTCAAGAGCTCAATATTTGAACCATCGTTCCCAACTAAAATCGGTGCAATTTGAAAATACTTTTGAGATTTATACAGTACAGCACAAGCCAAACGAGCTGTGCAGTAAATTATGAATAACCTTAAATGTCATTTTTAGCGAATGGGCTACTTTGCAACTGCAGGTCACTGTTTAGTTATTTATATACTATACTGCTTGTTACGTTGTGATTCAGTCAAAAGCTTTTCAGACACATTATGGGAGTGGCTATTCTGGCAGAGTTTATGGTGACCTGGAGTGTGTAAAACATTTAGCTATTAATATATAACAATTTTGTATAAATAATGGGTAATTGTGATGAGATGTTAGCCAATTGTATGACGTTTTAGATTCCGTGTACCTGGAGACAAACTTTATCAATGTTACCAGATCATGGGACACAGCTTTTTGAAATGAGGAAATATTTAAATAAATTTCAACGCACGACAGTCACCCAGAACTCCGCATTAGTCAGTAAATGCAAGCAATTTAACGGGCTTTTTTGTCCATTGACAAAATGCACCATCGTAAGCAAATGTATCAAGTGTTTGATTATTCGTTTTAATTATAACCAGCTGTCTTGTTGAATACCAGTTGTGCATCTTGCAATCAATCGCTTTAAATTGACGAACCTAACCAGTGCGATTGGAGGGTCACTGGTTTCGGCAACTAATTTGTATCCCTAAGATAACCATGTGGGTGATGTGGTTGGTATTTTTTCCTGTCCATTCTCGCTTTGAATGCACTCCCAGTTGATCGTTGCGTGTGGTTTGCAGTGGCTGAACAGCAGTGTGCCTTGAGGCTGGAAAACACAGCCAGGAACAATTTGCCATCAAGTTCAATTGTCACGAGCTGTCGCGTTGATTCAACTCTGTGGCGTGACCTTGTTTAAAGGGGTGGCATGCAAAACTCAGGGTTTAGGGGTTGGGCACGACACAAGTTAAACAAGCTCTCCGTTACACGTAGTAAGGGGGCCCTTAGCCTGCAGCAGTGATAGGGAGCTCAGCTCCCTACAACCCTGCCCTGATGCTACAGGGCTAAGTATTTTGAACAGCATGTCATAGTAAATTCGGTTATGGCTTGATCGCAAGCAATATTCGGCAATTTCAAATACATATTGAAGGTTCTCAACAGACCTTATTCTGTGTATCGTTCACAGCTGAATGTCACTTGATTGCATGATTTTAGGGAAAGTGGTTGATATAATCTCATCTAATCGCAGAGGTCGTATTTTGTCATTTCATTTTACAAATTCTTATTCCATAACATGCTGTTGCAATTTTCTTATCACATGGAATGTTGGATGTCTTCAGTCGTAACTTATTTAAGTTGTGATGTTTAACCTGTATATGTGCTCTCCTACCAAGAATGAGAATGTTGCTTTATATAACAAAAGTATTACCCAAGAAAAGCTGATGATATTTTGTTGCTTTTCCACATAATTACAGGCCTTTGTCAATCAGCTGCTAGATGAACGCCTTCACACACCATGTTAGTCAAGGGGGTTGTGTGCACATACTTCACCATACTGGTCCGTACGGGCTGATGACATGTAATTTGGCTAAATTCCAGCTCAAAGGAGTTCCAACGTTTTCCATGTGGCAGGGCTGGTGGGAAGTCCTGCCTTCTGCGTGGACGTCACATTGTCGAACACGTCCCTGCGAGAGATGCGAATGGATAATTAAATGGTCTCTTGATGCCATGACCACAATCTGGATACAATTATGGGGAAATTACAAAAAAAATAAACCTTAAAATGCTGTTGTACAGAGAAATGAAACGAATTGGATGTGTTAAAAGCAACACTGCTCATCAGAGGACTTAAGCAAAACTTCGTGATGATTTATTGCGTCGTCTTTCGAAATTCCACGTATTTATTTTCTTAAATATTGTGGTTGTAAAGTGTTTAAAACAATATAATGTACCATATATAGCAGTTATATTTATCTCGTTTGAAACCTTTAGCAGCTCGTATCAATCTTACACGCTTTCCGTGATACCGAGTATACCACCTTGCAATGTTATCTCAAAAGTGAAGATAATTCATAGGTCTTGAGGTGACTTTCTTTGTCATTTAATCTTCAGAATAGGCCTAACATTACAGGTGGGCTGCTCGTTTCACTTGTATTTTGGGGCCAAATTCCAAGCACCTGAACTCTCCTCCTCAGTGACTTACCAATATGGCCCTGACAGTAGTGAAATGTCGATGATAGTGGTGCTTGTAATCGTAACGTACATGATGTTGCAGTGTTGGGGTGCATGTGTGGTGCAAACGTCAGAGCAGTGGGTCCGTTGTGGTACTACCCCCTAGCAGGTCTACAAACAAAATGAGCACAAATGTATATTTAAATATGTCAACCCATGAATATATACCAGGAGTTGGGGAGCCTATGGCTTCTAGGCAAGATATAGACCGGACGTTCATTTCATAGGGCCCACGACTTTATTTCATATGGCCCACGACTTTATTTCATATGGCCCATGTCCACAATCGGCCGCTTCGAAACGGCCAGAGGCCAAAACATATATTTATCGCTTCAAGTATCTTTGTAGCATGCATTGGGTACGAGAGGGGACTATTTTCAATCTGGCAAGGGCTGTTGATAATTTGAGTGCACTAAGTCTCTTCTGTCAAGTCAATTCTGGAGGTTGCCTCTGGCATTACTAATGCGTGGTGATGGCCCCTCAAATGTACCTGAAAGCCCTATTTGGGCCCTCGATTATAGAAAGATTCCCTCTCCCCTTGATCTAAAAGAAATGCTGCAAGGTTGAAGTAAGATTTGCCGGGATGTGAGCTTTAATAACGTGAGTTAAGCAGTATCAACAACTCTTGCAGTATCGTCCTGTACGTTTTGAAGACGGGAAACAGATGAGGCTTGTTGGTTCTGGAGATGGCCAATTGAACCTCATGGTGGGACCCCGGTGTCCCGAATAAACTGAAGTCAAAATCGTAATGAGTTCATTTGATGTCGCAACGCAGTTTTTGTGAGAGCCGAGGGATTATGGAACCCCGGCGTCCCGCCATAAAGTTCACTTGTTATGATGTCAAATCGTACAATGAATGTCTTAATTACACAGGAAGTAGACATCTTAATTTGTATTTTGAGACAATCGTGTTGCAAATGATATGGTAAATGCTGTTGATTGTATTTTGTAATCGTGTACAGTGAGACTACACATCCTTAACGGATTTTGATTATTTGCAGTACACTGTATATGTTATTCGTGATGTAATAAAATAATAACAATAACATGCTTTTCCCGTATCTCGTTTTCTTTTAATGAACTACAGGAACTTAAGCCATTAATGTTGTACATCACCAAAGACTTGGCAGATGCTGGAATGGCCTGAAGTGGATTTGACTTTAGTAATTGTTTTGTTGTTTAATGAACACTTTTGGGCCCTACGTTAATGAACGTAGGGCCCAATACGTCCAGCGGCCAGCAACAAGCAGCACTACCAAAGTAAATCCTTTTTGTAAAGCAGCAAAATATTCACAATTGTTTATATTTTGATTTAAAGCTTTCATGACTGCAGGTATCCATATTCTTGGTTCTTTCGGTAAAGTCACGTAGAAGGGAAATAATAAAATAATATAAATATAAAAATGTTGTATTTTCATTATTTTATTATTTCCCTTCTACGGGACTTTACCAGCCCCAGTGGCTTAGTGGGGCGCGGTGCTGGGCCTCCCCTCGGTCGACTCAGCCTCAAATGTATACCTGGTACAGTGTAAAACCATCGCCACTGGGAGAGACAAAGGCGGCCGGGCGTGGTGCTGGCCTTCATAGGTGCTCGCTAACGACACTTGCCCCAACATGATGTTGAGACTATACGGGGGGTCTTTGTATTTGTGGTCCTGGGCCTCCCCTCGGTCGACTCAGCCTCAAATGTGTACCTGGTCATCGCCACTGGGAGAGACAAAGGCGGCCGGGGGTGGTGCCGTGCCACGATCTTCATCGGTGCTGACGGCACTTGCCCCAGCAGCGTGTGAAGGCTACACGGGCGGTGGGGGGGAACTTTATCTTTGTGAGCTGCCAAACTCACCGCGTGTCCTGGTTGAGCCTCCCTGAAATGTGCGTTAATTATTGCTGTTGTTGTTGTGCTTAAAAATTAGACAGAAAGCTGATGTTAAATAGCACGACGTGTTTAGTGACGGTAAACAGAGCTTATTTTATTGCATTTGTAATTTAAAAAATAAATCCCACCGGTAAATTAATAACAAATAGAAATCGTAGCGCAAACAATTTAGAATTCGGCAGTGGCGGTGGTGACATTTTTGTGTTTTTTGTGATCCGTGAGGTAAAAGTTTTGTTCGTCTTCCACGAACGGGCTTACATCGGTGGCGAGACTATCTTGAGCCCCATCCCATGACCAGCGTGGTGAAGTATGGTCAAAAGAAGTGTGGGGGATGAGGCCCTCATCTCATCCAGCAGTGGATTGACAAAGTTGAACTTTAGTAAAGCATTGCCATGCCCTGTCAATCCACACGGTGTAACCTCGTATTCTTATCGAGTCATAAGCTCCATCAGGACGTACAGATGTTTTAATAGGGGCAGATTTAATTGTTAATAAATGTGTCTGCGTGTTTCTCCCTTGTGATGGGATTTTGTAGGATAAACTTTGAGATTTGTAAGGGACACGGGATGATCGATAAGGTAGGAATTGGTCTGTGATAAGGTTGGGCACTGATAAGGGATTGACAGGCATGTAATTGTGTACAACTACATTAGCCGTACACTTTGTAGGTGTACAATATAACTACGTTAGTAATAAACTAGAAACGTTTCTGACCGTAACTTTAAAGTGGTTATCTCGTTAATGAAGCTCACGAATAAATTAGATCTTAAATTTTGATTTAAAGCTTTCGTGACTGCAGGGATTCATATTCTTGGTTCTTTCGGTAAAGTCACGTAAAAGGGAAGTAATAAAGTAATAAAATAATATAATTAATATAATCAAAGAATATAAATAATAAACAAAAACATTCTCACGAAGTTTCGACTGCAACACAAGCAATCATCATCATCAGGTGTGAAATCCACAGCAAGAAAATTAGAGAAAAGTTTTCAATGTTTTTACATTTTATTGTTTTATATTTCTATTATTTTATTATTTCCCTTCTACGTTACTTTACCGACATAACCAATAATACTTAGATCTTGTCACGGGAGATACGAGAGAAATAGCTGGTGGATTTCGCGGTGTGTTTCCACTCATTGTGTTATTGTGCCTTATATTGTTATTGTTGTGGTTAACGACGTTGGACAAGTTTAACTTCATTAAAGACGCCAGCAAATCGTTAGCTGACGATGATAGAGTTCGTAGTCGGGTTTTGAATTTGGGTTGGCACAGTCAAATTGTCGGCCAGTTGTTATGTAATTGTGATTAAGATGAGATATTAAATTGTCCACTTATCACGAGTTAAATAATGCCACGGACAGACTGACTTTGTCTTCAACGTTAATTATAATCCATCGAGTCTTGCGTGTCAAACCATTGTACGTAAAATACGCCAGTTTTTATCTTATTTTAGATACGTGTACAGTACTTTAACTTTAACATTACATCCGGTACGTAGTTAGGATGCTTTTTGTTTATATAGACGTATACAAGCACACAACTGCATACAGTACATAGTACAGTTCTGTAATGATGAACGGTATTTGAAGTGTTATTAGTTTTAAAAAAAAGTCTGCGTGTACAAACATCAGTATACTGTACGTGACACGCTACTAAATTGTGCAATATAATTTATACCACAGTAATGCGATAGCTATGTTGTGTGCAGTGTAGCAAATCTATAGTGTTGTGCTGCACTACGCTTCCACGTCTATGCTCCCCGCCTTCTCAACAAGCAGCACTGACCAGCGTGGTCACGTGGCCCTCTCATCTACAAGCGGGCAGCACTTGCAGGATGGTCTCTACATTTGTGCAATTCACGGGCAAAAAAAACACATTGTGGAAACATCCAGACAGATCAATCTTGATTTGAAGCTTTCGTGAATGCAGGAATCCATAAAAAAAAATCAAATAAATCACGACGTTTCGATCGAAAGATCGTGATTTATTTGATTTTTCTACCTACGTGATTTTACGGAAAGAACCAAAGAGTATATACAGACAGATCCTCTTATTTCCATCAGATTGACGCATTGCTCAACCACCACACACTCTGCAGGTCACTCATCCCTTCTCTGTCTGCCTCTTCCCTCACATCTCTCCCCACTTATGCAATTGCATCCCTATTTGTCTGTTTTCAAAAGTTCTTCTTACAGTTCAGTGTTGAAAATGTAAGTTTTAAGCTGTCAATGTGAAATGGATTAGCAGGCACTGTTGCTACATAACGTATTTACGTTTTTGTCCCATATGCAGATCGAAACAGGACACCAGGCTTTCCCAAAGATGCTCATATGGGGACACACACAAGAGTGACTGAACCAAACTCCGCACAACACGGTACTATAACAAAATTATCCTATTATTTTACTGCTCTGGCATTGCCCGCAGTAAACAGCAAGCAACATTTGAGAATTGTGACAGCGAGAAGTAACTCGGGTCATTGGTCGCAGTGTGTGTGTGTGTGCAGTTTCATGTGTCCATTATTCGCAGGATTGTGTTGTAAGCCATGGCCCATTGCTCGGAGGACCAGGCCATAGAAATGTGGAGTGGAAGCAGTCCAAATGATGAAGAAGACCTGCTGCATTCAGAGCACGAGGGTGCACGGCTCCTGGTGGGTGTGAGAAAGTGCATTAATTATAGTATTTTCTCCAAGAATAAAAAAATGTGAAAATCTATTTCCTGCTCATGTGAGCATTGCGGCAGTGCTCATCTTCCGTGCACAGCCTCGAGGCAGTGGTGGGTATTCCACATTCCTATGGCGGGGGCAAAGTATATCCATAGAACATCCACTGTGGTGATTGTTTTATCGATCCCAGAAGGATGATGGGATATGAGCTCGCAACCGTCTGATCGCGAGCCACTCACCGCATTCGCATTTAAATCTTTAATTGCAATTTCCCACAAGTGCTGAATATAAGCATTGCAAGCATATATTCTTAAACCTGTTTCTGGGCACAGCATTCGTTAACCTTGCCATGACACCACAACAACGCCGTGAATTGATTCATTACCAGTAACATAAATACAACTAACTGTAACATAAATATATACAATTTTACATAGTATTTATTATGAATGACTTGATATACTAACTCAGATTACCTTTGCATTAGTGGCAATGATTCAAGTCTCCCAACAGTCCTTCATTTCAGAATCAGAATATTTATCCTGGAGGAATCTGACGAGCTTTGCAACTCTTTTTGCTACAGATCTCCCGGTTTAAATAAACGATACATTTCCTGGCTCGACTACAACCCACGTGCACGCCAATTAATTCCCCCATCATACAAAAAATTCCACGACATGCAAACCTAAATGCATCAAGGCGTGTGTCACCAACCACCATACCTGGCTGACGACCATGTAATTTGTGTGAGAAGTGGGTGCACGTGCGACATGCACACCAGCAACGCAAGCCCCCGTGGTGCATGCAGCCTTCTGCAAATGTAAAGGCAACGCCCTTGCATTGCAGCACACTCCGCCTTAGCACTGTATGCGTCAAGGCTTGTGCCGTGGCACATGGCCAGCAAGCCAGCCAAAATTTAAAGCAGCGTGTGCCACTTTCGATTCCTGCATTGCACAGTGGTGGGCTGTCCCGAGATCCGCATACCAGCAGCAGATGAAACCAGGCGTGGTGCACAGCCGAATTCTCTTTCGCAGTCGGGCAGCGGTGGCTTCTCGTCTCATGCTCATCATCATCTCAGCTCCCTAGCAGTCTCAGTAGCACAGAAATAGCCACGCGTAGCTGCCGAGACCAGGATCCACAATGAGGACATCGTTTTCCTCCAATTTCCACATTGCCCGTCTCTTCCAGGTAACGCTCTTTGTGAACTGTAGTAAGGTGTCCGTTGTAGGTTAGGTAAATAATTTCCAGTCTGTAAATTTAATCGGTAAGGTTTTTATTTTATTTAAACAAAGGATGCATGTATGGGCTACAGAGCTGTAACTGTGAGTTGAAATGTGTTGTGTATGTTTGAAGACTTGGATGCATTTTGTATTTTTTTTATAACCGACTCCAGTCGCTTATATTCACATTTTTTGTTACGCTAAATCACCAATATAGCAGATGGATATAGTGTGGTGTATTTTTCCGTTCATATTTTGCAGAAATTAGAGATTTATGTATATTAATGAATGTAGTACTCTAATAACCTGTTGGTTTTTGTACTTTGCAAAATTTTAATTCCATTATAAAAACTAAATTAACAACACTGCAGCAAAATATGTAGTTATTGCAGTGCAACAATTCATGAAGTAACTTATTCAGTCAGAGTTTTATATGCTTAATTAATCTGTTTTTTCTTTTTAAGACCCTTAGCGGCACTAAAATAATTAAAAGCCTTATTATTATTATCCTCCTACAGCATTTGGATCGTAAATCCTATTTGCTTCTTAACTGCATGAATATCTATCTCAAAGAGATCATCTTAATTGAAGACATGGTTACAGCCCTTTGTAAATCCACTGATTGATTAAGTCATTGGGGGATAATTGACCAGTCTTAACTTTGCTGGTCAGAGCGGGTTGGTGAAGGAGAGGCCCAGGGCCAATTCAGATATCACTTGCCACTGATGTTAACCATGGCCAAGAATCAAACTTAGCTTACCAGTTTCATAGCCCGGTGAGTTAACCACTGCACCATCTAGTTAAGTTCGGAACGTTTGTGAAATATGATCGCGTATCAACAAAACTATGCTATAGATGTTAAGATGATATGTTCGATTAACATATTCCAGGAATGCTTGTGCTGTGTAAAATGGCCCATATACAGTCATCACCCATCCTTATTTTTAAAATTTTAATTTGACCTTTATAGGCTGTAATCTATCTTAATGTGTGACCACTATGTTGAAGCATAGACAAACAATTCCCATGATATGCGTGATGTGGGGGGAGGCCGTCATCCAGCAGTGGATTGACAAAGGATTGTACATTATTATTGTATCTAAATATTGTAGACCATATTACTGCATTATTTGTTGTAGTACCGTGTTTATGTATAATGTTATTTACTAGATTGCGCTGCAGGGTATAGAGTATACTGTAGTGTATAAAGTAGTGTAATCTATTCTGCAATATATAAAATGCACTATTCTCTACTCTTTATTAGGTGTGCTGCAGGTTATGCATTTAATTTCACCGAGAAAATATGCTGGCTAGACAAAAGTAATTGTACTTTTCACAATTATACACCGACCATTCATCAGACTCGTGATGTCCGCTGCGTTGAATTATATTGGGTAATCATTTAGAGGTAATATTCCACTTTGTCATTGTCATGGCATGGTCTGCCATAGGCAGAACCACACCCAGCAAGGCGATGGTTGCAGTGTCGCATATACCCTCAATATGAGACCATCATACACGAGACTATTATCTGTTCATTGACTGTTAAATATCAAATAATATACTCTACAACTGATTTTTCCCATTCTGGGTTTGCTATTAATGAAATGCAACTGCAATCAATGTCTGTTAAAATATCCTCGATTTCACTCTTCAGCACGATATTTAAATGTTTTGAATTATATGTTGACTGACTGCCTCCAAACATTGGTCATGTATAGTTTGAGCTATGCATTTTTGATGTTCAGTTTACCATCGTGACTTTTCTACACCACAATGGCAATATATTTTGTGTTTTAACCAATAGTGAACCCAGTTATGCTATCAGCTTCTTGGCACAATTCAGAACTTGTTAATATGTGCAGTCGGTTTACTGTAATCACAATACTATGATCGACTTTACAGATTACCAAATGACCCATGATTCACCCGATCTCATATCTCAAAAGCTAAGCCGGTGTAAGCCTCAATAGTGTTCGGACACGTGTCCATCATGCATATTAGGTTGTTATAGGCTGCGTAATTATGTGGTGGGCAATACAGCATGATCAATTGTTGTACTCTTCTATGCTTTCCACTTATATGCTCTCCTCTTTCACCAAACCGCACTGACCAGCGTGGTGCAGTACGGTAAAATACCATCCACGACCTACTCGGTGTGGGTGGGCCTTTATGCTGCAGTGAATTGACAAAGAGCTGTACATGTACACTTTAAATTAGCGTGGCTGGTGCGATGTGATTTGTGTGTCTCAGGAGGACCGGACACCTTCCAATCCCCCAACTCCGGGCTCACTTGGAACGGGCTGTTTTTTTCGAGATGGCAAAACAAGAATCGGTGAGTAATTGCATTTAACAGTTGATGCATATAGTGTAGCAGGGGGAAATCTCAATGCAAATAGTGTTCTTGAATTTTGACAGCAGGAAGACAGTCTAACGTGTTCACACAATTGCCACTCATCCAGTTTGCATGGGTTAAAAAGTTAAATTCTTTCAATTTATTAGAATTGGACATGTCTACAGGGAATTAACGAAGCAACTAATTATCTATAATCAACCCATGCCCAAGGGTGTATTGAATGAGGCATATTGCCATTGCAAGCCTTGTAAATTTAAATGTTCACTGCAATTTTTATAAACGTAAAATCAGCTCAAAAGCTAATATAAGAAATTGTCATATTTCTACTGCAATTCTGGAAAATGCATATCAAGCTACAAACAGTATCTATAAAGTGCTACCTCTTCTGTTCACAATAAAATAATGTGTTCGGGGGTGCCTGTGGCGCTCCTCACAACCATTTGCGGCCTTCGGCCAGGAAAGTAAAAAAAAATTGCACACGAACGACGCATTCACGCAAGCACTCGATGCTCCGTTTTGAAGTTTTAAAATAAAACATCTTTGAATTGTATTATGCTTTGAATTAGATAACTTTATTTCTTCATTAAAAACCTATATAATTTTACATCTGGAAGACTTAATTGAAAACAACATTTCGTGTGAATTTTCTCTCGTCGTTAAGTAGATGGCCTTGCTGGGGGTTCGGTTCGATGCGGACTTTCACCTGTTTGGGATTGCGGGATCGAGATAAGGCGACGTAGAGCTGCTGGCCGTGCGAGAAGACCGCCATCTGCATATCGATTCCAACGTGATCGAACGTCTGTCCCTGCGCCTCCGTCGTTCATGAAGGGGGCACGTAGATTTGCAGTGCCCCTTGCATGAAAACGACAGAGTGCAGCGTTCATCACAGATAAAGTTGTGCGCTTATATAAGAGTATAATGATGATAACAAAATAAAATGTTGAAAAATGCTCAAAATAAAGCCCAGAAATTTGACTTTCGTGCCTCTCAGATTTCATGTTGGTTTGGGAGGATGTCTTGGAAGGCAACAAGAAGCTCCTGAAGACCAAGAACACGTATCAGGAGATGGAAAACGAGGAGACCGTGCCTCCACAATCCATCGACGAGCACGACAGCCTCCGCAAGATCTTCCTCACGAACCTGAGCAAAATCGGACTGCTAATAGAGGAGGTATCCTCTGTCAGCATCCGGCGAACTGGAATGTTACTAGACTTGACTCGTGTGACTGCTACCAGACGGGATGCACACTGGATTGGAAACTGTGGCTCACATAATGCATTGTGTCCGTGCAGTTACTCATAATGTAACATGTGTAGCCCTTTGGAAATTCACTGCTGGATGAAGGCCTCGCCATGCCATGCTGATTGTACGGATTACTTGACCATTATTCGCCACGCTGGGCGGTGCGGGTTGGTGACTGTGGGGAGCATAGATAGTGGAACATATAAGTACAGTAGGTAAAAAAAAAATTTGATCATAGAAATAAAATAATAAATCACGACGTTTCGGAGGCAACACAAGTCTCTGTCATCAGGTGGGACCGTCACAGCTAAATTTACTGTATCAAGTGAGGAAAATGTAAAATTTCTCGCACGACTGTCGTAAGCAATTACTGGAGCAATGTACGCATTGCTGTGTATTGATTATGATAGTATACTCGTGTTAGCTTCATCTGGTGGTAGAGGTTGAAATAAAAAACCCTTGTACATCATACATTATTGCAAATTGGAATGCAGTCAGCCCTTGTAGTTGATTTCTCGCACGTGTTCACCACATTACAAATTATATTTATTTTATACAGTACTATAAAAATGGTTATCTTCAAACTTAAGTTTAAAAGGCAAGTTAATACTTTTAAGAGAAATGCAAAAATTATTCTGGGTATCTACATATATAATTAAAATTGGTAAACTATAAGCAACAGACATGCGATTTTTAAGACGGATCTTAACAACGTCATGGACAGACAAGACAAGTAACATACACGGCTTACGGATAGCAGGTACAAAATAAAATAAGAATAATTAGAGAAAATCAAGTTAGATGTCATGGACATGTCATGAGCAAACGAGACAATATGTTTTGGCTGGGAGAATTACAGGTTCAAGAAGCTGGGGAAGACTGTGAATTAGGTACATAAGCGAATGGAACAATTTGATTGAACTGGAAGTATTTAATGCAAAATGCTTGAGTCATATCATGGCTAGTACTTCATGGATGGCCATAATCGCCAACGTCTTTGAGATAGGGCATGGCACAGTTTGAGGAAGGTCTTTAAAACCATACGCACACACGCACTCTATCGCATAAATATTTTATCATCAAAGTCTCGCCCCTCCACACGTCTGCAGTGGCGCTAGCGACAAACATCATATCGAGACTTGGGAGATACTCCCAGGTGTTGGGCAACATCCCGCCTGTCATTGTCACATTCTGCTGAAGATCACTCATATTTTTATTATTTTTGGAAAACAGTTTTATCTTTCATGATCCATACATTTTTTTGGATTAGGCCACGTATTTGTCGTTTAGCAATATCGCTTTGTGGCCTAACCCAAAAATATATGCTGAAATGAGAATATTGGTTGTCGAAAACTTAGCGTGTCAAGTTACTTTATCATTCACACAACCACAGTTTAAGCTGCTATTTAATTATATTATGTAAAGTCACATAGAAGGGAAGTAATAAAATAATAAAAATAAAACATAATAAAATAAAATAATTCTCACGACGTTTCGGCTACAACGCAAGCAGCCGTCTTCAGGTGTCTCATTCTTCACCTGAAGACGGCTGCTTGCGTTGTAGCCGAAACGTCGTGAGAATTATTTAATTATGTTTTATTATTTTATTACTTCCCTTCTACGTGACTTTACCGAAAGAACCAAGAAGATGAATCCCTGCAGTCACGAAAGCTTTAAATCGAAATGTATATCATTATGTAATCATGCATGGTACCTTAACGGGCATGCTGTATTTCAAGGGAGATATACAGTAAATTAAGTACAGTATGTGACAAAAGTAAACCATCCATCAGCCTCTGCATGTGTGCAATATATAATACATTGCAGGACATCATGCAAGGGGAGAAGATTAACATCCATTATCTGAAGCTTCATGCACCGTGGGAAGTGCTGCAACGCTACGCAGAGGAGATCAACCTCAGAATGCCACTGCAAGTAAGCATCCCTCTCTGGCAACATACATAGCCTCAAACAAAGCACACAGCCATTGAGCCTGTGCAAAACACCATCAGCATTTTCAGAAAAAGTGCATTGTGGTCCTCTCGTTTTAGGTCACCGAAATAACAGCAGCATTCGGACTCATCAGCACAGTGTAGTCGCCAATCCTCTGCTGCATAGTCTACTACATGAAGCCATATATGTGGAGTCCTCACTTCCACACTAGCTTGGCTAATGCCAACAATCAGATTTGATCACAAACAGTAACAAGATCATAAGAAGATATCGAACTTGTCATCTGTTTATTGTTTCCTAAAGTTATTGGTTTACTTGCCCGACGTGTTGGTAGTCACGTGGGCACCGAAGCACTAACATACGACGAGTGAGAAATAGCTTAGACTAAACCAATAGATTCGTAAAAAAAAAAAAATTCACAAGAAGGGTAAAATCCGCAATGCGGAGAAGATGCCTGTAGATATATGTTGAATTCCTTTCGCAACATACTTAGCCAACCGTGCGAATCGGAGGTGCAGGGGAAGGACAACAACTCCTGTAAGGCCGAGTCGATCTGGACACGGATAGACACACAAATACACAGACACAAACAATTGGAAGTTAACTGTAGCCTAATTTTTTCATGTACTTGCAGATCCATCCAATGACCAAGACGCACTTTTCGGAGAGGCTGTTAAAGTTCCTGCGTCTCCCAAACATAATGCATGCAGATCTTCCGCGGGAGCCCCAAGAATACTACAGCTGCTTCTTCCGCAAGTCCAAACTCGATCGGTAGCCAACTCTTCCATTACTGTAACGTGCATATGTTGTGTACATTACAACTGGGGTTTATATAGTGCCTAAATGCATCTAAAAAAACTGTGCAAAGCGGTAGGCATATCTGGTTTGCATGGGACGTATTAAAACACTGATCAACAATGAATTGCTAGTGATGGTTGGAAGACCACCAATGTGTCATCCACATATCTAAACCAAACAGATGGTTTTAGTGTGCTTAAAGCTATTGCTTTTATTTCAAAATCTTCCGTGTACAAATTCGCTATCAGAGATATGTGGATGACACATTGGTACATTTGTGGTCTGGCCACACGGCAAATATACACTGAACGCATTTCTAAATCATCTCAACTTGCAAAACCCATCCATCCAGTTCACCATGGAAGTGGAAGCTGACAGAACTCTACCATTTCTGGATATTCTGCTCGGACGGGGTAGAAATTGTAATATAACACAGAGTGTTTACCGAAAGAAAACGCATACTGACGCCTATCTGAATGCAGAGTCACACCATCACCCCGCACAGAAATCTGCTCTTATCAAGACGCTCATTCATCGAGTTAAGAAAGTGTCAGATGGTGACAGTCTGAGAAGTGAAATTTAACATGTTAAAGAAGCGTTGCAAATGAGCGGTTACAGTGATGCACACATCAACAGGGCATTGAATAGCAAAACCAAATCAAATAACAAGAGCATTGAAACTGCCCAAGTAATTAAAACGATCGAAATATCGTACATTGCGGGAGTAACTGATAAACTAGTCAGATGTTTGGAAAAACAAACCATCCGAGTCAGATTTGGCACGGTACATAACAAAAAAACATATCTGGTACAAAACATGTATTACCGAAGCTATCAACAGAAGGTGTGTACAGGATTAACTGCACGTGTGGTAAATGTTATGTTGAGCAAACAGGACGAATGATCAGCACGAGGCTAGAATAACATCAGAGAAATATTAAATTCTCCCAAATACAACTGTCAGCAGTAGCAAAAAGCGCGTGCCAACAAGGACTCTCAATTGATTTTGATAATGTTGAAGTTTCGTGCAAAACTAGCTACTACTGATCTTCTTGGTTCTTTCGTTAAAGTCACGTAGAAGGGAAGTAATAAAATAATAAAAATAAAACATTATAAAATAAAATAATTCTCACGACGTTTCGGCTACAACGCAAGCAGCCGTCTTCAGGTCTTCAGGTGAAGTCGGCTGCTTGCGTTGTAGCCGAAACGTCGTGAGAATTATTTTATTTTATTATGTTTTATTTTTATTATTTTATTACTTCCCTTCTACGTGACTTTACTGAAAGAACCAAGAAGATGAATCCCTGCAGTCACGAAAGCTTTAAATCGAAATTTAGCTACTACTGGCCAAGACTAATTAGATAATCTATCGAAATTGAAAGAAATCAAAATAACTTTTACCGTTCGGATAGCTACCGCCTTAGTGCTGTGTGGAAGCGAATCCTCAAATAATACATTATTTAAATGCATGCCTACAAAGGGCAGTGTACTTCAATATGGATTACCGTTGGTAGTGCTATTTTAATAAACACAATAGACAGGGAAGACAAGTTCAAAGGGCTCGCATAATGCACACGCATAATGTACCTTGCCTCAGTAATCCCCCCCCCCACAACATTGTGCAAGAGCGCAGCTGCGTGGTCAACACATCTACGCCTCTATATAAGGAACGAAACAGTAAGACTTCTCCACAAATCTGGCTGTTGCCTGATGAAGCTAGTTGTAATTACTGGCGAAACGTCATACTCGGATTGTAAATGTTGTGGCTTGGCTCTCCAACACACCGGTGTGCTGTACTAGTGACGAACTGGCCACGTTCTGTTTACATGACAACCCTTACTGTGTCGGGTGGTGGCGGGTTTTAACGACACAATTATATATTTACGCGATCTAACCCAAAAAACCTCCAATATGAATTCTGCAAAATGGTTTCCTGCTCCAAAGATCACAGACCAATTTTCATCTGTTTACAGCAGTGAGCCAGTTGTGTAAATTCCATATTCCTGTGGCTGGCATGAATTGCCTTGTATGACAACCATTCCCACAAACTGATTCTCTACCAACCCTGGAGGGATATAGATATTTTATCCGACCAGCCCTGCGGCTGCAAACAATGTGCTCTGAGCACTTTACCCCCTGCTACATGACATTTGTCGAAGTGACTTAACATTAATTTGGTTAATTTAATAATATGATTTGTTTTGTGATGGCCACATGCATGTATGTATTTTGAACTTCTTTCACAGCGTACGTAACCAACCATGCTAATTCATGTTTATAACACACATTTGTTTGATTTAGGTTCCTTGGCAGTGACCGCCCAGAAACATTCTTCTCCAATACCCAGCGGCATGTCATCGTAAGTGTTAAGCAAGTGTTCTGTAATTGCTAATGGACTTCACATTGACCACACTGAAGAATACATTGGTTGATGTGTTCCATGCACATCTGGAAAATACAACATTCTGATGTTTATATCACATCCTGAAAGGTGTTGTTAAATATGTTTTTTCTACAGTATAGAGAGTATACAATGAAACACAGGGGCGACACCAGGGACTGGAATTGCTTGTCCCATCTTTAGTAAAATAAAACTAACATCGGCAGGTGACAAGATGGAAACATCACAGCCAGTTATGACTTATTAAACTGGTTGGTGACGTCCTTCCAATGATTGCTGAGTTTGTACCCATCCTCTCGGTTGGAATTGTGTCTGTATATATGGATGGCTTCATGAACGAATCTTTGTTGATAGCCAGTGGGCTTGCAAAGTACCTTCGTCTTAGAGAAATCAATTTCGTGTGAGCCCACCGTATTAAAACAATCATCAGCCATGGCTGAAGTGTTGGTCCTCCCGTGTTTCAAATCTGCCTTATGCTCACCAACACATTGGAAGGACGTCATCAAACAGTTTAAGTCATTAACTGGTTGTGATGTTTCCATCGACTCACTTGTAAATCTTTTGTAGTAATTTTTGTATTTAGTATAAATACATATTAATTTTGATTCATGTTTTTTTCTGACTTTATGTGAATGAAAAAAAACACATTCGCCCGTTTTCTCATTGAAAATAGGTACATTTCAAAATATCACTGTCCTGGTCAAAAAGCAAAGTTTGTGGGGAATAATAGCCATTTTCTGTGCTTTTGAGGCATAAGCAAGTAGGAAATAACACTTACTACCCAGGAACAAAAAATAAATAAAAAGTTGTTACACAGTGTAATTCAATACATTATGCATCTGTTCCAGCAGACCAAGTATTTTTGTAAAGTGGGTTGGCTGCTCGTAAAGTTAGAGGCGTTTTAAGTGCTGTGCACTGCACTTGGATTAAACATGAAAGTCAGAGAAGATTTTATGAACAATCGCCCCTTTGTCCGCACCTGCCGTTTCAAAATCCCCTGCCTCTAGTGAGGCCCACGTACAGTAAAATCTACCAACAACCTGGTTTGGCTACGACAATCCTGATTTCAGAATGCCCTTCTCAGTGTTATAAAGAATTTGTGAAACTTGGGATTTTTCTCTGGTTTAACATTTTTATGGCCTCATGCTCGACTCCTGATACGGGCAAGCGGCGGAGCTACCTGAATAGTCGTCAGGGCCTATGAGTGGTAGGCAGCGCCAACATCAGAGGAAGCCAATCCACTTGCCGTGCGGCCGGTTCTAGTGATTGAGTGGGTGTGGTTATGTAAAAGTAGGCGGAGCTCACTGAGGCAGAAGCTGTCAGCTCACCTTGTTCCCAGTTGAGCCTCCCAGAAATCTGGTAGCTCCAGAGTAGACTACTATGTGGTACAACACTTGAGACTTGGGCTGCCTTGTTCTGTATACAACTGCTGAGTGTTGCTGCATGTCCAGTTATGGTGCGCTCTGTTGGCAGGTCAAAGAGATCTTAAACACAACGCCATATGGGAAGCGGAAGAAGGCCGAGGTCGGCCTTGATCGGATGTTGAGGGACCATATCTTCTCTGCGGCCTTCCCTTTGCACGAGGTTCGACGCGGTTTACTCACTGCATCAACCCCAGATAAACCCATTGTTTACAAGTATGCCTACTTGTGATATTATGGCACTGGTCTTAATATTATTGAGTCTTCATGGAGAATTACTATCATTTCAAGTTATCCGACTAACAAAGTACTTTATTTTTAATCAAAGAAGATGTTAAAGAGGTCATTCACTACATTTGGTCAAATGTCAGGTTCCGTGAACATGTGTGCGGTATCCCTACTATATGCCACTATACACTCACATATACATGCAAACTTACACTTTTTTCAGTTAATTATGCTATTTGCAGCTGTAATGGGATGAACATCTCTATAGCAAGGTGCATTTGAAGTCCCTTCAAATTACCATATAAACATTTGAAGGAATAACATAAGTATTTCTGTGATACCACCTTCCAGAGGCTTTTCTCGATCATGCGCTAATGCTCGGGTTACCCTAGTTTCTTTCCGCTTATTAAACGTTCCTACAAATGGAATTCACATGCATCTCTACGGAAGACTTTCTTAAAGAGAGTCTCGAGACTGAGCAGTGGTTTGCCGTATAGATATATGACGTGATTATTATTATTGTGTTTTGCTGCATAGGGAAGCTACGATGGGACGTACCTGGGCTTGGCCCCGGAACAGATGACTCGCCGCCAGGTGCTCTACAAATACTGGGCCCGCTGGGGCTGTTGGTTCAAGTACCAGCCCCTGGACCACATCCGCGAATACTTCGGGGAGAAAATCGCCTTCTACTTCGCCTGGCTCGGTAAGGTGTCTTAGGTATCACGATTTGCATGCACAGGGCCCTTGCTTAAGTGCCTCAACATCTCATCGCAACCATTCCAGTGTCCTTACCGCATTCTAGCCAGGAGACTTCCGTGGCAGCTAATCCCCGTATGATGCAAGGTGAATGCAGCACCGGCCTGCAGGTGGGCATGAGTCTGCCAAATATGGGGAGATGTTGCTGTCTGGCCTATCCAAATTGATTAATTGGATTCACTTGATAGTAATTGATCAAATTTGCACCATGATGCTAGCACACACGGCCTCTGTTTAAATAACGTGACAGGATTTTTAACGTCCACTGTGAAGCCGGCGGCGTGTATTTTATAGTTGATAACCCCGCAGTAATAACCAGGGCAACCACTGGGCTTGAATCGCGAACTTCTGCAACCAGCGGAACGCGCGCTACCATTTGGTCATGTCACTGTCCTGGTTGTTCCCTGAGTATTTCCATTTGTGATCTAGCGAGGTAGCTTAGTAGTGGATAAAAAAAACATTTAATAGGATTGCAGAAGTATTCCTGTGATATCATCTTCCCATGTGATATCGCCTTCCTAGTCAAAGCACCAAGCCAACCGAACATGAGATCCTCGATTTGAATCCAGGCAGCAACTAATGGTTAAACTGAGTTGGGTGGTATTTTAAGTTGGTAGTTGCAGCCAAGTGGCTATGCAATAACTCGCATTCTGAGATTTTTTCGCCACTTCATTTGAGGATAAAGAATATTTGTTTACCATGGGCAAAAAAGGTTTACCGCCTGGTTTGAATAAGGCGCCTACCAAAATGAAGTAAATTCAGAAATAGTTTATAGGCTGTCTTCTTCAGGGGGCTGTTCTTTTGCTTGACACACTGCTCATTGCGAGAGACAACTGGAATGCAATTTTAAGCAACCATTACACTTTAAAGGACGCACCTTGTCATGAAAGCCAGTTTTAATATAGCACGCATAAAGAAGGAACCCTTTGACTTCTTTCCAATTCACAAGGAGGCACACTGATTTTACCACGTGTTGTTCGGCCCGATCTCTTGACATGCTGCTTCATCTGCTGGGAGCTTCTGCAGGAAGAGGTTATTTAGAATGTGCCCAGCACATTTAGCAAATTATCGAACATTGGGCCAAACGACTGGAAGTACAACCAATAAACAAATCAGAGCCATACAGTACCATAACGAAAGCCCATGCAGAAGCATGAAGTGCGCTTTGCTGTGCCAACGCGGACATTTTTACTGATTGTGCCAAACATGGCACCCTCGTGATAGCCCCGTGCTACAAGAATGTTGCAAATACCAAATGCACTCACGATTTGATTTGTCATTTATTTGTACTAGGATTCTACACCTGCTGGCTTCTCCCACCTGCCTTGGTGGGACTAGTTGTGTTTTTCGTGGGATGGTTGACGCTTCACAATGACAGCACAATGTAAGTCTTTTTCATTTCGTCAAAGATCGCTGGGCAGAGCAGTGGAACGGTGGGTAGCACACTGCGCCATGAACCCAGGTAACCGAGTTTGATTCCCAGCCACGGCTAACATCAGTGCTGAGCAGTGACGTGCGGTGAGGTCAATGGCTGGGGAGGCACTGGCTCGTGTCAAGAGCCAGATTCACACACTGAGGGGCGTGTCCTCGCTGAGGGGGCGTGTCCTCACTGAGGGGGCGTGTCCTCACTGAGGGGCGTGTCCTCACTGAGGGGCGTGTCCTCACTGAGGGGGCGTGTCCTCACTGAGGGGGGCGTGTCCTCACTGAGGGGGGCGTGTCCTCACTGAGGGGGGCGTGTCCTCACTGAGGGGGGCGTGTCCTCACTGAGGGGCGTGTCCTCACTGAGGGGGCGTGTCCTCACTGAGGGGGGCGTGTCCTCACTGAGGGGGGCGTGTCCTCACTGAGGGGGGCGTGTCCTCACTGAGGGGGGCGTGTCCTCACTGAGGGGGGCGTGTCCTCACTGAGGGGGGCGTGTCCTCACTGAGGGGGGCGTGTCCTCACTGAGGGGGGCGTGTCCTCGCTGAGGGGGCGTGTCCTCGCTGAGGGGGCGTGGCCTCGGGGAGGGGGCGTGTCCTCATTGAGGGGGCGTGGCCTCATGGGGGCGTGGCCTCGCTGAGGGGGGCGTGTCCTCACTGAGGGGGGCGTGTTAAAGACGTCCCCCTCAGCGAGGCAGATGTGATAGCTGCCTCCCCTGGTGCTTTTTCATTGCAGTTTCATGACGAGACCAGCGAGTCTAAATATCTTTATACACATACGTGAAATAAGTTACCTGGAGTATGGAAGGCGAGGACATGAAATGAAGGTCTACAAACATTACATTGGTGACATACTGTGATAGTAACAGGCACGCGCTTATTGCCCGCGCTCCATCCAGTTACTGAGGGGTTGCGCAATCAAAGGGGAGGCTGAGCTCGTCGCTGCCTCACCTCTCGTCTCTTCCTGTATTTGCAGCGGAGCTCCGCAAATTTTGCGATATTTTACTATAAAAATTATTGGAATCGTACAGAAATGACATTTATAACACAGATCAGTGGAACAATCTTAATATTTATTTGATTTGATTATTCTTTTTTTTTACTTTTTGTAACAGCTATTTTCATTGGAGTATGACAGGTGAGGCTCTGCCTCCCCTGCCTCCCCTGACCGCACGTCCCTGGTGCGGAGTGTAATCTGACTAGCGTAATATAATGAATGTGGTGTGAGGATGCCTTCATCCAGCAGTGGATTGACAGACCATTGTAAATTATGAGACAAATGACACATATAACTTGTCCACTTGCCATATCATCACATTGTGTTTCAAGACTGGCTGTACAGATAGTCCCCGAGTTACGATGGTCCGACTTACAGTATTTCGATCTTATGATGGCGATAGCGATACGACAAAATTGTTAAATATTTTAAATTTTGTGCGGCAGGCAAATGCAGCAGCGTACAGTACAATATGATACGTTACGATACGTTCAATGCATGTATGATACGTAGCTTAAGCGATTTCATTTTAGGGTTACCACGATACGATACGTTCAATGCATGTTAAAAATGTTTAAAGCAGATAGGATTGTTTCCTGAAAAAAATTCTATTAAATTGCAGTTCACATAGGTAGGCTAAGAATTTACCTTGTTTTTTACTTTACATTTTACTGTGCAATACAGTATTGTAATTGATAAGTACATACAGTATATAGTTTATACAGTACGGTACTGTAAATTGCTCTGTTTTTCTAAATTATCACCATTCTTTAAGACTCCTGGGTAGGCTAGGCCATCTTCGATATTTCGACTTACGATGGGGTCGTCGTAACGCATCTTCATCGTAAGTAGAGGATTACCTGTATATGATATATTTAATTCGGCACAACTGTGGTTCTTTGGAGAGCTTTAGGAAACCCAATTTTTCTAAAACGCAAGCTAACTGATGACATCTGGCTCAAGGCACACATGCTTCGTAGGACGATGCTTTGCCAAGGCATGTCGTGAGTTTCCATCTATCAACACATGGGGGTGCAATGCCACTTAATTTCACTGGTAATAAGCATCATGACTTTTTTTGATGTTATTTTCATGACAATATACCCTTTTTTAAGGTCAATGTAGACTCAATTGTGAAAGGATACTGTATATGTCTTGAATTGTACTCCTATCAAATACATTTTTATAAATTAGGACCAGTTGTGATTCACACTTTAAACGATGGTCAAGTATACACTTTTTTCGATTATATTTTATCTTAAATATCGTGTAAATAAGGTGAATAATTGAATGTATCAACATGCACACATATTTTAGATGTGTATTTTGTTTTATGTATATGGCCATTCACTCGATTATATAGCCTTTGTGGATATATTGATTGGCAAATTGAATAAATTCCATCATGCAAATAACACCTCGTATATATATCCAATTATGCCATTTTTTTTTGTTTCCCACAGAAAAGAAATCTGTGAAAATGGCAGCCATTACCAGATGTGCCCTCTCTGTGACACCTGCAAAGTGTGGAACCTGTCAAACACCTGCAACATGGCTAAGGTGACCATTTTGTCATTGAACGAGTGAACGCATTTTACTTTTATCCTTCCAAGAAATTCAAAATGCTACCATATTGAGTTGTTATTGTTGTATGTCGCAGTCTAAAAGTGGGCTATTGAGCCAGTAGTGTTTATTTTCAGAGTTCTGTATGAAAAGTTGTATTGCAAACTGTCATATCTGATTAATTGGCACACTTTTGCAAAACAATTGATATTACCAAAAGTTATTTGTTTAATTTATATATCAACAATATTATTAAAGTGCGTAAAATGTGAATGCAATCTTTTAGCCAGCAAGTGTCCACAAAGTCCGTGACAAATCGTAATATTAAAATGCCGCTGATGATAATGCAGTGCTCCGTGTCGTCCCTTCCGCAGATGGGCCACATATTCGACTACCCAGGAACGATTTTCTACAGCATCTTCATCTCCCTCTGGTCTGTGAGCTTCTTGGAATACTGGAAGAGGAAGAGCTCCTGCCTCACGTACCACTGGGGATGCACACTGGTGCACGAAGAGGCGAGTGTTTTGTCACTGCAAGAGGCCCCGTGCAGTATCAGAAGTGACTGAGCTCTCTAAAATATAAACACATGATCGCCAAATCAAATATATGTATCCCTAGCACCCAATTAGTGCTACTAAGCTGCTTGCAGTTTGCAGGCTGTTTCGAAGCGGGAGCCCTAATGCAGACGTAGGCAATATGACATGAAACCCTCGGTGTACATCCTCCCTAAAGTGTGTGTGTGTAGAGTGATGGTCACTCGCGTTGCTTCTCGCTTGTGCTGTTTCTTGCAGGAGCGGCCCCGGCCAGAGTATGCTGCCCTAGCCCCCCTCATTCGGGAGAATCCCATCACGGGAGAAAAGGAACCGTACTTCTCCGAAAACGATCGCACTCCAAGGACTGTCACCGGATCAATCGTCCTCTTCCTGATGGTAAATGCCGTTCGTACGTTTGAGCTATTTGAGCAGCTACGAATCGTCGTGACCTTTTTCAGATTATTATTTCCTTCATAGTGTTCTTGTGACTTTGAATGTTCACCTGGTTTTGAGGGTGTTATTGTAGTTCCATTATAGCAGGCTGCCCTGGTTGATACTTAAGATGCTGTAACTGTAAAATATGCGTCGTCTGCTCCACAGTGGACGTAAAAGATCCCGTGACGTCATTCGAAGAGTGTAAGCCTTTGTGTGCTGACGTCACGATCCCATTTTTACAAAGTTGAAAAATAACTTTCAAATTACTCAATTGGGCTTTCACATAGTACTATTTTCCCCTACTATGAAACTACTGCAGGCTATGTATGTGAAACAGTGCCTTTATGCTAACCTTGCAGTGTAAGCTCGGTGTGAATTCCAAATGTACTAATATTTTTTAATTATAACGAAACTTGATAATTTATAAACATCGTCATTGCATTGTGATTAGTGACATGGCACCTCTGACACGTGCAATATTTTTTCCAGATTTTTCTACCAGATGGCAGTTGTAATCACATAATCACCGATAGTATTGCCCTTGCACAACTACACACGAGAAAATCAGAAATCCGATATGAATTATTGACCTCTGAGGGTATAACAAATACAGATAGTCCCCGAGTTACGATGGTCCGACTTAAGATATTTCGATCTTACGATGGCGATAGCGATACGACAATTGTTAAATATTTTAAATTTTGCGTGGTAGGCAAACGCAGCAGCGTACGAGGTACGATGCTGTACGTTGGGACGCTGCCGGGATGTACGCATATCCCGCCTTGTGTGATGCAGACTGGTGATAAATTATCACCATTCTTTAAGAATCCTTGGTCGGCTAGCCCATCTTCGACTTACGATATTTTCGACTTACGATGGGATCGTCGTAACGCATCTCCATCGTAAGTAGAGGACTACCTGTACATCAGAATTTGTAAAATAATAAAGCTGCAATATGTTGACAACCGCATGAATCGTGGCAATGTTTAGATGTGGGTGGAATGGCTGCACTTAGCATGTAGTAATGATGTTGATGATGACATAAATGTGAGTCCGCTTCATGCTTTAAATCCTGCCGATATTTACCGTGTTAAGTTTTGGCCAAATATTTGTGACGTTTTATGTCAATATGTTGTGTTTTTGTAGATCTCTGTGGTTCTAATATTCCTGGTCACTGTGATACTGTACGAAGCCCTTCTAAGCATTTCAATCTTCAAGACTGGCAATTGGTTCCTCGCGACGCAGGTAATTACGTTCTCCCACAATACCACAGCTCAATTGTAGCTCCCTCCTACAGAGCTGGCACTTGGGTAGTTTTACAAACAGTGGAGCTTGATTCCTTGTCAGGCACAGGGTCATTCAACAGTAAGTGTGGTGTTTTGATGTATAACAGTGTTATTTAATTACCCAGGAACATCTCACTGAGTCTCAACATTATTTTTCTTGACTAAAAGCTTTCGTGACTGCAGGAATTCATATTCTCTTTGGGTCTTTCGGTAAAGTCACGTAGATAGGTTCAAAGAAAATAACAAAATATAAAAAAACTACGACGTTAAAATCGCAACACAAGCGGTCGTCATCAGAAAAAAAACGACCGCTTGTGTTGCGATTGAAACATCGTGGTTTTTTGTTATTTTGTTATTTTCTTTGAACCTATCTACGTGACTTTACCGAAAGACCCAAACAATATGATTTTTCTGTCGGTTCCTGAATTGGGACATTTGGCCAATTTGATTTTGATCAGTCAGATTTTACTAACATTAAGTAAATATTGTTTACAACCAATGTGGTGGATCTATTTAATGCAAATTCATAGCCCAACATGGATAAAGTATTTGTTTTTATGTTGGCTATTATTTTGTTATTTCTGCTATTGTGTAATGCATAATTTTAGGTTTTTCGGGTTAGATTGAGTAAAAATATAAATGTGCCATTAAACCCGCCACCACCCGAGACACAGCCAATTAGTAAGATTTGTCACGTAAGCAGAATGTGCCAATTCGTTACTAGTACAGCATCACCGGTGTGTTGAAGAACAATGTCACGAAATTTACAATCTGAGTACGACGTTTTGCCAGTAATTACAACTAGCTTCATCAGGTGACAGCCAGATTTGTGGAGAAATTCTCATGTTTTGTTTCTTAAATAGAGGGGTAGATGTGAGGCATCACTTGTGAGCACTTCTTGAGCGATGAGGGGGGCGGGGTGGTGGGATTAATGAATGCATATAAATGACAATGGGTATCCAAAAAACCTGTATTGTGGATGATATTGGTCGCGAAAAGCCCTACGTGTTAAACTATTGTGTAATGGTTCGTAGAATGGACTAGAAATCATAGTTTACCAGTTTGATTATATTGTCCGGAGCGTTGGTTAAAACAACATTGGAAGTTTATTAAATCCACACAGTCACAGTCCACCCAGTACACGTATTATTGGTAAACTACAGTTAATTGATTGGCATAACAATAGAGGTGCGTGATTAATAGCCTATTTTGGTGCGGTTTGGGAAAGTAATCGTGGTTTCTGATGTTTTCAGGCGACGAATATCGCGAACATGACTGGCACCTTGATGTTCCTCGTGCTGATCGTGATCATGTCGCGCTTGTACACGACTATGGCAGACTATCTCACCAGATGGGGTATGCGTTTGGTATAATCCACAATGTATCGAGCCGCAATTGCCGACCTCATCCATACACTGCATATTTGATATATTGCATACGAAGAGTATGTACATATACACGTACAGCCATGTGTTAATCTGCTGCTGGATGAGGGCATCCCCATGCCTTGCAGAAAGTGGGGGTTATTTGACCATACTTCACCACACAGGTCAGTACGGGTTAGTGAATGTGAGGAGCATAGATAATGGAGCAGAGAGGTACATGACAACAATGGATTTTGTTGTACTACCCTCAGCTGACTGGCCACGTAGGACAGCCCCCGCAGCCGTCCATGGCAAGCCGGTGTGCATGCTGGTTGCCCATCAGAGCACTATCCAGGCTAAACCACTGCTTAGCTGCTAAGATCGGCGCGTACGCCTTGTGATTTGGTGGTCATGCAGTTTCTCCAAGCGTGTCAATGAATGCAACGTACTCGCAAATTGTGTTCGCCACGTTTATTTCATTACACACTTCATGACAAAGAAAAAGGCAACACAATCCGTAACCTCTCGTTTTTTCAGCACGTTTGTTGCAGACGACGATTGCTATCGTCATTCATGCTAATTGCATCCCACAATGTTGTCCATTCATTATGTAAAAGGTTCAACTCCTATATATAGCTAACTACCAAGCAAATGAAAAAAACTAATAAAGAAATGGCACCAAAACAAAAGGCACAAATAACAAAGAAGTTACCACAACAGAGAAATTCGCCCATTTAGGTCTCAACATCCCAGACCACGATCTCAACTTTTCACGCAATCCAGGGATACCTTCACAGGAGGGGGGCAGTAGAGTGGCAAAAAAGTTACGACTAAATTAAAAACCAATCGGTTAAACGGAATCCAATTAAACTTTGTTTTTTGTGTTTTGATCAGAAATGCACCGGACACAGTCGGAGCACGAGAACGCTTTAACCGTCAAGGTGTTCATCTTCCAGCTGGTCAATTTCTACTCCTCGCCCGTGTACGTGGGCTTCTTCAAGGGCAAGTAAGTGCCGTGCTACAACTTCTGCGTCCAATCCGTGACCCTTTGGGCATAGGCAGATTTAACCCTTTCACGTTCCAAGATGTCCTGCAAATTGCAGGGTGAGTCCCATTCACCTCCTGAATCTCGGAACGCACAAGCGGTTCGCGTTAATTTTATTTGGAGAGGCATAGCGCCGCTGTTTTTTTAAGACATTGCTCTGTACTCACCGCATATAAGTGTAGCGCTACGGCCCTGCTCTATGATAGCTAGCACCAAACTGTTCCTATTTCCCGCACCTCCGTTAGCACGGTTGGCTACGTACGTTGCGAAAGAAGTTCAACATACATACATTATGAGATTAGATCTCGGTAAATGTGCAGCCCTGCATTCGCTTGCTCACACCACTGCTAGCAGAAGGGAACTCCACTCGAGGGAGTTATGTGAATGTAAAACAAATATCCGTGGATTATTTTAGTGTGCATTGGGTGATCAGGGTCCTTGGTTTAAATATCATCCAAAAGATGGCATCCATGAGCATAGTTCCAACGTTTAACGATTCTGGCATTCACATTTTTTTTTTCTTTATACGTGACTTTACCGAAAGAACCAAAGAATAATTCCTGCAGTCACGAAAGCTCCAAAGTTAAGATTCGCATTGCATTTGTGATGGATACTGATTCATCTAGTTGTTGTCGTGGTGCGCGTTTTGTTTTCCAGGTTCAATGGGTATCCAGGAAACTACGGATCCCTTTTTGGAACTCGAAATGAAAACGCAAGTCAGACATTGGTCCCCCACTCTCTGCACTATCACCTTGTTAATTAAGTGACCTTGATTCATCGATTGATAACATATATGAACAGACATGTCGCGAAACAGTTTAGATCTCTTGCAGAGCAGTGTAGCCCATTGTATTCGAGAACAGCTCACGGAAGCATATATTACAGATCTGCCTCTGAGTTTCCTTCAAGTGACCTTTCTTCCATATAGTGGGGAGCAGCACTTTTCCACCTTCTCTGCCACTGACAGTAATGTTCATCACATGACAGTTAAACTGACATTTAATTCTGGGATCTGAAATTCAGCAAAATTCAGGCAAAACCAAATGTGCCATGATAATTATGTTGTGCTGCCATTAGTGACTGGGCTGATACCATCAACCCACTGAATCCAGGATCTGAGCGGTGCCAGCTCTGCACTCTGACCTCTGAGCCACTTCTGCAACCGTTAATTAGAAACTCTACTTCTGTACAACCCAGCAGAACGTTAACTCTGAATAATGACTGTGATTTAAAAAATTACATCACATTAACTTCATGGTGAGGCATTTTAGCGCCTGTAATAAATGTTCAGACCCGTGAACATCATGGTGAAATGTTTGGTATATATAGTAAACATTGCCACTGATCAACGTCAAGGTAAATCATTTAGCCACGATAATATATCGAAACTCATAAATGTTTTGAAGAGTCATAGTGAGGCGATGCTGTGTTCAGTGTCCCCAAGGTGGCTGCCTGATCGAGCTGGCTCAACAGCTGTTCATCATCATGGTGGGGAAGCAGATCCTTAACAACCTGCAGGAGCTTATCGTCCCGTGAGTTCCAATGTGCACTTTAACCAACACTCAAAACGAAATGTTAATCAGTCAATATGCCACGCTGGTCAATGCCGGTTGGTGAAAACTAAACTAAACTATTTTTTTATTTTACCAGGTAAGTCCCTCTGAACTATAAAGGTATTTTTCTGAAGTGACCTGGCCACAAATGATAGCTCAACGAAGTGGCTTATCACGTGGAAATGTCTAGCAGCCGTAGAGAAGGGGGCCCAGGACTGGTTCAGATATCACTTGCCACTGATTTTATCCACGTGTGCAGCCCTGCAATCGCTTGCTCACACCACTGCTAGCAGAAGGGAACTCCACTAGAGGGAGCTCTGTGAATGTAAAACAAATATCCGTGGATTATTTTAGTGTGCATTGGGTGATCAGTGCCTTTGGTTTAAATATCATCCAAAAGATGGCATCCATGAATAGAACTCGCCAGCATGCTAAGCACGGCTCTACACCCTTAATTATTATTTTCACATTCATTCACTCTTACTGCCAATTTCCTACCATTTCACATCCACCTTTCACAGTGGTACCACTTACTGCTTTGGCTTTTAGTCGGAAACAACACGTGGTTGTCAGAAGATGATCATGCTTCCCTCTGATATGCACTGCAGGATAATCCAGCAGTGGAGGCAGCGAAAGAAGCTGGATGAGATCCGAGGCAAGCGTCTGGTACAGGAGCTCAACATCTGGGAGGACGACTATGAGCTCCTGCATAACACTGGCCTTTTCGACGAGTACCTGGAAATGGGTGAGGCAGATGGACGGTTATTGCATTGCAAATAGAATTACCAGTGTTACTTTATATTGCATCTGTATGCGATCACATGCCAAGATATCCCGCAAAAACAGTGGACATATTACATTTGTAGAGAGAGACATAGCCGGAATCATATTCACAAGTAATAAAATATTTAAAAATACTTTTTTTTAAACACGTTTTAATGAAATGTACTGTCCGAGCTGCCCCTGCCCACTTCTTCCATCGCCCCTCCCCTCCTTCCACATCCCCCGCCCCTGGGCGTGGCTCCCCGAGGCTTGCTGTGACGTAAGGGACCGTGGTGATTTACAGGCTACATCAGTTGGGCGTGGACAATTAGAGCCGTTTAAAAGATTGTTTAAAAAATATATATATTTTATGATAAAATATAGTATTGTCATCAGTATGACATAGCTATACGAAGTTTGCAGTCGATAGGACATTGGAAAGTGTGTAAAAATTGAGTTACAATATATCTTTTTTGAAGATACAACAGACGAAGTGAGTTAAATAAAAGCGTGTAATAAAGGAATATCTTCTTGGTTCTTTCGGTAAAGTCACGTAGAAGGGAAATAATAAAATAATGAAAATAAAACATAATAAAATAATTCTCACGTTTCGGCCACAACGCAAGCAGCCGTCCTCAGGTGTGAAATCCACAGCAAGAAAATTTGAAATAAGTATAACCAGTAAAAACAAAGTTTTTCACTATAAATCCTTTATATGCGTGGCGGCTAGAGTCCTCTCCTCTGGCTTGAGGTGGCTGCCACCTATGGGTCAGATGATTGCATTGCACCATTAAGCAATTGGTAATTAAATATAATATTTTTGTCCTAAAAAGTGTAAAATTTTGGAAAAAAATTTTCACGAACATTAATTGTCACGCACAACGAATCTGCGTGGAAAATGTCAGCTCGATTGGATCACGGGAAGTGGGTTAAAAAACGACCGAAAGATTTGCACGGTCCTAAGCAAGCAAGCAAACTTAATATAAAGGATTTAACAAGTATAACCCGTAAAAACAAAGTTTTTCACTATAAATCCTTTATATGCGTGTCAGCGAACTTAATATAAAGGATTTAAAAATATATTCGCCTGTGGAGGACGCGGGGATCGATCCCGCGACCTTTGGCATGGGAAGCGAGGGCGCTACCAACTGCGCTACTCCGCCACGGCCTGTGGAGGGGTTACGCTCTGGGCTCTTATACTGTGACGTTCAGCCAAAGCCAAGAATGAGTTCTATTTGAATATATGTAAAATAATTTTTTTTTGCCTAAAAAGTGTTAAATTTTGGGAATTTTTTTTTGTCTGGCACAACGATTCTGTGTGGAAAATGTCAGCTCGATTGGATCACGGGAAGTGGGTTAAAACACGACCGAAAGATTTGCACGGTCGTAAGCAAGCAAACACGCAAGCAAGCATGCGAACTTAATATAAAGGATTTAAAAAGTGGCGGTTTTTACTTAACGTCAGCACCACAGACAGCGATTTGGCAGTTGGCCAGATGGACGAGTCCATCTATGTTCGGAAAAGAGGAGGGGGGAGCAGAAAATGGAATGCGGTCTGAAAGTCACCGTAAGCGTGAATACAATCAATTAAGACCCGAAATGGTTTATCAAATCCTTCCAATGATTGCCAAGCCAGAATCCATCTTCTCGGTTGAAATTGTCTGTGTTTGTATATGTGAATAGCCTCATGAACGAACCTCTCATACTAGCCAGATGGCTTGCAAAGATCCTGAACGTGTTTACGTACCTTGGATGCCTCACACCACAAAACATTTCCGAGTGTTCAGTTTTCCCCAACCCCCTTACACAGGGGTCAGAAACCAATATTTTAACAGCTGTAATGCATGTGAATACGAAACGGTGATCCTTAATGGGGAATGGTAGTGTTGTAGCGGTTAGCATGCCGTGCTATGAACCCAGCGACGCGAGTTCGATTCCCGCTCATGACCAATGCCAATAACGAATATTTATACCAGTCCTGGGCCTCCCCTACGTCGACTCAGCCTCAGATAAGTAGCTGGTGTAGTGTTTAAACATCACTGCTGGGAAGACAAAGGTGGTCAGGCGTGGTGCTGGCCACCCACCCCCTCGTGTTATACCATGCCTGCCTTCATAATTGCTAACTGCACTTGCCCCAACAGTCTGTTATGGCTATATGGGGGATCTTTGTATTTTCAGGTCGTTAATAAATAACGTCACAAAGCAGTTTTTAAAACGCCGCACGCGGCTGCGGAGCCGCAAGTTGCCGATCCCTGCTCCTAACTCAACCTTCTCGACCACAGTGATGCAGTTTGGGTTCATCACCATCTTCGTCATGGCGTTTCCGCTGGCTCCGCTCTTCGCGCTCATCAACAACTGGGTGGAGATCCGTCTGGACGCGCGCAAGTTTGTGTGTCGGTACCGGCGCTCGGTGGTGGAGCGCGTCAGGGGCATCGGCGTCTGGTTCGACATCCTCTCTGGCCTCGCCCACATCTCCATCATCTCCAACGTCAGTGTCGTTCCTTTCCCGTCGCACATCGTTCGCTGTGCTTTGATTTCCGGTCGTACCGCGAATTGTTCGGCACGATGTCTGACGTTTCACTCCACGTGCTTCCCGAGGAAGCTTCCCGAAGATGGCTTTCGTCTAGCATGGCTGATGATGATTCGGCCCTCGGTTAAGGAAAATGTTCACCCCTGGTTTAAACAGAACTGAATGAACATACAGATGAGCAGTTTGACTTATGCCCAGGTATTTTTGTGGTTGTGCTGTTTGGCTCTCTGATATGTTGTCTGGTTGTACCACATGTTCTTTGGCACAATGTCCGACTTTTCACTGCACGTGCTGGAAGTTTCCCGAGGAAGCTTCCTGATAAAGCCCATGACCTAATCACCGGCAATGCATCCGATCTCCGCGGATCTGGGAAGCTGAACAGGATTTAGCGTGGATAGTGCTTCGCTGGGGGACCACAATGCACAGCAATTTGTGAGAGGCTGCTGTGCTGTATGTACTATACTTCAATGCTCCCTGTCTTCACTAACACACTTTGACCAGTGTGGTGAATTACGGTCAAAGTACCCCCTGACACTAGCACGACGTGTGGAGGCCCTTGTCTAGCAGTGAATTGACAAATAGGCTGCACATGTTCAAACTACAATAATTAAAGCATGCTTTTCTGCTGTTTGTCACGAAGGTTATATATTGACATGTGTGAATTGCTTTCTTTGATATGCTTTAAAACAAGTGAGATCTGATTGATATACACATTTCTCTTAGAAAACAGTTATGTCACCAATTGACAGCAATTTTTGTTGCGCTTGAGTGCCAGCCAATTGTGTTTTAACGGCGCTAAATCGGTGTTGCGTTCCAGGCCTTTTTGATAGCGTTCACCTCTGACTTCCTTCCCCGCCTACTCTACCGATACACCTACAAGTCGTCACTGGACGGTTACGTCGATTTCACGTTGGCCTACGCTCCCCGTGAATACGTGGCCGCCAATCACACCATGTGCAGGTACTGCCTCCTGCTGTCACACAGTGAGCAGCAATGTTACCACTCGTGCAGCGTGCACAATTTATTTCTCTTTTGGCATATTACAATAGAGAGAGGCTGCAGTAGTTAGACACTGGGGGATGTCTCTCATGTATTGTGGTTGACTTGAATGCCTGCTTTGAATTTTGTTTAACACATAGGCTTTCGCGACCAATATCATCCATAATACAGGTTTTCTTTTGGGTTGGATCGCGTAAATATAGAAATGTATCGTTAAACCCGCCACCACCCGACAGCTCATTAGTAAGGTTTGTCACGTAAACAGAACATGCCAATTCGTTACTAGTACAGCACACCCAGTGTGTTGGAGAGCCAAGCTACAACATTAACAATACAATAATTATACAATCGGAATTGATATAGTATCTAAATAGAAGCTTAAAGCGGTGACTTGATTTTGATTCTCAGCCACGGCTAACATCATTGGCGAGTGATATCCGATATTGGTCCTGGGCCAACCTTTTATCAATCTGCACTGCCTAAACCAGCGTGTAGTAGTTGATTAAGAAAGGAATGTAAATTACTTACTACTTCGTAAAGCAACCACATGTCAAGATGCTGTAAAGAAACAGCGGACATTTATTTTGTAGAGAGGCAGTCCGTCATAAGCAGATGAGAATAGAAAGGTCTTGAGGCCCTGGACTTGAACAGGGGCAAGCAATTCGACAGCATGGATGGCTGTGGAAAGGCGAAGTGATTTACAGACTATGGGGGCAGCAAAAACTACACTTGCTTATCTATACGAGTGAACATTACTGAGCTGACATGGTCGAGATCCTGGTTTTGAAACTGGATTCTAGCCGCCCGTAATCTGATGGTTTGGCCAGGTCACCATCGATGGCACAAAGATGGCATCTTTGAATTATTCTGGCTCTAGGAATTATAAATGTATTGTTGGCATGCAATGAACCAGAGGTGTGGACTCGAGTCATGTGACTTGGACTCGAGTCAGACTCGAGTCATGAATTTGATGACTTCAGACTCGACTTGGACTTGCATAACAATGACTTTGTCCCACCTCTGCAATGAACACACTCTACGCAGGACAATTAAACGGCATGTATAAAGATGCCTATTTAAGCGATTTTAAAAGCATTTCTGCAAGGTCATGGTCCAGGGCTGTTTCCAACCGTGGTCGCATAGCATACTTTTTTAAAGCTCCACGCACCTGCGGGTCTATATTGGTTTTAAAGCAACGAAAACCTGAAATGTCACATTTTAACTGTAGCCGTAGCAACAGTCTAGGCTAAACTGCAAATGACTGCACATTTGTCACTTGTAAATCTACAGATACAAAGACTTCCGAGATCAAGATGGGAACCTGACGCTCTTTTACTGGAAGCTCCTGGCTGTGCGTTTGAGCTTTGTGATTATCTTTGAGGTACCGGAGTTTGTCAGCACACACTTAACTTCCAATTATCTTTGTGCTTGCTCTTCATGAAGTGTTACATAAATTACGTATTCCTATGGTAAGGGACTAGTCTTTCCCGATGCAAAATATCCTCAAAAGCCTTCAAGCTTATTATAGAGCTACCGAATAACGGGGGAGGCTCAACCGGGACAGGTGATGACCTCCGCCAGTCCGACACAGCAGTGCCCCCCTCAGCAGTGCCCCCCTCAACTCTCTGACACTGTCCCCACCCATTACTTCCCTGCCGACCTCGCCCACTGCTCAGGTTGCCCTCACCCATTGGCCTGTTTTCACAAATTGAGCGCGAGGGCCATAAAATTGTTAAACTGGGTCAAAATCCCAGCAGGCTTTCTGAAATGGCCCGGGACTGTTCTGGCCCCAACCCAGGGTGTTTGACAGCTTCAAACATACACAACCAGAGTGTTGATGTTCGAGTTTGTATTCTTGTTATTAATGATAATGTTTCCTGTCAACAACTACACAGATTGGCTTGGAGGCAGTATTTATGCTGGTAATGAATGCCTAATGGTAATGTGAGTCTCTCATTCGGCTCGACCTTCCTCTGCGTTAGTGTAAAAATCCACCCACTCGTGAATATTAATGGGGGGGGCTCGTGTGGAGTGACGTCACGTGGGGGGATGGGCCTCATGTGCAATGACGTCACGCGCAGGACGGACAGACATTTCTGGGTGATCATAGTAGGTAATTAGTTTTAAGTAATTAATTTTGCAATATGAAGTATAATATAACCAGCTATTGTATAGGCCAAATATAGAGGGTAAATTCAAGTGAATCCATTCCCGAATGAGTTATATAGTCTTAATAATGCTTCTGAATTCTATGGCCAAAGCCGTTCATGCAAAAACACCTCGCCAACATGTTCCACCCTCTGCAAGATCCCCCAGCTGACACGTGACCCTCCAACATCTGCCCTGACAGTCTCCCACCACCAAAACAAAAACCTATCCGTGTATCTCACTGGAGACGTAGACATTCTTCAGTTGTAAATCTTTCGCACGTCTCTTTATCACCGAACATTGCAGTGTGGTGGACAGAGTAAGGATTGCATTGACGGCCTATCATCGACAGCCTTGGCCGTGAATGCTGTCATACATCATTCTTACAGAAGGATTCGCAATCATGAATATTGTCACGTGGGTTCTGTAACTCGTCGTTGTGTGAATTAAGCGAAGCACGTTCATGTGGTCTAATTTTATTGATGTCATATTTATTCAAATATTTCACCTGCAATATCCTTTGGGATGGAACATCTCCATTGCAACCTTGTCTATGGTATCAATTAACACACACACATAGCAAACACGTAATGACTTGTTTATGAACATTTTAAATCTGTAATCTATACAGTACTGCATTTATACAATGAATATCCCACTCGGTTTAACATCATAAGTACACATATAAATCATTTAAACTGTGCACACTGACAGTTCCTTTCTATAGAGTGTAATATCCAATATTACTGTGACGTATGCCGCATACCAGGTGTGCCATCGTGAAAAGAACCCACCGTAAACCTCACGGCAAATTACCAACACGTTCCTTCAGAGTGATGAGTGAATAGCCGTGTGCCTGAGGATGACCTTGCTTTAAAGTGAAACATGCGAGAACTCCGAAGTTTACTCCGTGAGCTCACCCAGTGGCTATGTTTTCTCTCGGCAGCACCTGGTGTTTCTTGTGGCTCGAGCAATAGATTGGCTCATTATGGATGTGGCTCCTGATCTAAAGGTAAAAATTAAACGGGAAGAGTTCCTGGCAAAGCAAGCTCTGTCCGAAGACCAGAAAACACTGGAAAAGGTCAGTTGAAGTCTCCGTGTGCGTGTCTCACCGATGTCCCTGTGTGTGTGTGTGCGCGCATGTGCAAACTTACATTGGGTGTAGACATTTTTTGTAGGGAAAGGTCAATTGTTGTGTATTTTCATCTTGACAAGAATGGCTGAAATATATTGCCTTAGCGATCCCCCCCCCCTTCCCCCCTACCTTGGTTCATAATATAGTTTCGGGTCAGGCCAAGTTACAATCTGACCAGGATTTGTGTTGGTGAGACATTTGTGAGACATTTGTGCTGGTGAGGCATTGAACACCGCGCCGATTATTATTGTTCAGCTGAAAGACAATTCTCGCAACCAAATCTAGCAGTTAGTAAAATATTAATTAAGAATCGTAACGTTGGCTGAGAAAAACCTATGTGTTAAAATTAGTACCCCATTGTTGTTGGCGATAGTGACGTTGTCTCATTGTCACTGATCAATGGACGAAAACAGAATATTTCCCCATGCGTGAATCGGTCTTCAAAATGTTCAAAGCATTGAGCAGTATGTGAGGTTTGTACTACGATGTATGGGGTGGTAGTGGTCATGCTTTGCTTACATGTTGCATCACGCGTGATTGCTGTGTTCTTCGTCCATGCAAGGCCATGACGTTTGAAGTTTTGCACGATTGTAACAATGATGACAGTTTTGTGCCGTACACTTCTACATACGTCAGCTATTTTAAAAGCTGCACGAAAGTAAATTCCTATGTATGCTTGCACAGCAACAAATGAGTGTTAAAACACCAAACGCGGAATGGCTATGACGACATTTGTCACAACTAAAGAGAAAATGTATCGTAAATGATATCTAGAGAGGCTGAGGACATGCTACATTTGTAACGTGGTCAGGTGTGTGTGTGATTTTTAAATCAGAATTCCCAGTCTTGTCAGACAACTGAATTTTTGCACAACTTAATCACTTCGTTCAGCCAGTTATGCTACCACGGTTCTTGAAAACCAAACTCATGTCAACGCCTCGTGTTTTAACATCGAAAACGTAATCCGTCAAGTGCCAATTGGCATCGCATTCACCGAATAACAATAAACTACGTAAATAATGACCAGTCTCCCCAACATGTTATTTCTCCAGTTCGGCCTATTTATCTGCTGCAAAGGTTTCTTCATGTTGAGCATTCCCCAAAAATGTTCTAAGACAAAAATAATAATTATTACAGGAATTATTTGTTTTTGATACTGCGCCATCATTTAGGCCAGGTCATGTCAGAGCGTTTTACACACGGCAACCGACTTGCATTGCATCTCATCTCAACAACACATTTGGAAGGGCACCCCCAGCGGCAGCTGTCCCCTGAAGGGTGACTCGGCACCTGGCCTGCAATTGGGCATTAATCTGCCAGTAGGGGGCCGATGATTACTACGTGCAATCCTATTTAACAGTTGCAGTTATTTAACATTTATAACTCTGCCCATGAGACTGCGAAGGTCGAAACTAGTTCAGAGTTTGCCCACTCAAAACCAATTCTGCTGGAATATATTGGTTCAGAAGGCTCGTAGGCCGATAAACAAAATATAAATTGTAATGTATATGGAGAGACATACTTCACATATGTTGATTATACATATGCAAGCCAGCATCCTTCACCACTGTGCACAATGAGTATAATAATCTTGATTTAAAGCTTTCGTGACTGCAGGAATCCATACTCTTTGGTTCTTTCGGTAGGTTTACTACGTGACTTTACCGAAAGAACCACATCAAGGTGTATGTATGTTGCTGTCGCACATAACCTTTTATATCACCGCCCGAACCTGTCCATCACTGCATCGGGCGTGCCTTGCTTTTCACAAAACACCTCTAAAACAGACAATTGCAAGCCTGCACTGTCATCATCTTAAAGCATTAGAACATTTAAAATTATCTCTCCCAATGTGTTGGATCGCGGTCACCATTGCCGTTGATTGTTTTTAGGCCCTCGCGAGCGTAGGTGGCGTGTGTGGAATGTCGTGCGCTCAAGTTGTGTGTGCTGAAGTTGTGTGTGCTTTTGTTCGTGGTCAGCTGATGGTTGACATGCAGCCAGAGAGGAGGCACGGAGAGCCCAGGGACACGAGCAGGCGGAGATTCGAAGCGAAACTGAGTAGTGTGGGCGGAATCTTTAATATGAACAAGTGAATTAAAAAAAAGCCTTGTTGTCCTGACTGAATGGCCCGAAATGTACCAGATCTCAGAAGGAACTCGGACGCTAAGTGGGGTTTGAACCTGGTTTCTGCTTTTATGGGTGACCACCATGCGTAACAGATTGTTATCGGATCTGGGGCGATGTGGTGGGCAGCAGAGGGCAGTGTAGTAAAATCAGTTGTTGTGCTGTACTATGATCCAATGTTTGTGCACTATATACCAACCCCATGCTGATCAACGTGGTCAAGTGTGACCTGTACGGTGTGGGGAGGCCATCATCCAGCAGTGGATTAATTAAAAGGCTGTACACGCAAATGTACATTTTCACATAGGCAGTACAGTATAATATTGGGCAGTGTTTAGGATTTTTTGTGGTATTTAAACTACAAAATGAATATATTAATTAGCATGTAGAAAAGAACAAGGCAGAGAAGCAGCTAAACTGGTGTCCTAAATTATTTCATGTTATTTAAAATATATATATTCCTGTTCTTAAGTGTATTTTAATATGGTAGAAAGACACTTCAATAGGAGACGTTGCGTTTATGATATGTAGCAGTCAAAGAACTTGCATTTGTAGAATTTTCATACTTTTATGCTTATGTTATTAAATAAGTGCAAAAAATGCTTGAACTAGTCATTTGCACAAATAAACATTTTTAATTGCAAGCAGCAATTCTAAGTTGCTTCAAATCACATGCATGTTTCAGATCATTATATCTGTCAATGTGTCATGAATTACATAGATTTTCTACTGTTGTCTAACACGTAGGCTTTCGCGACCAATATCATTCATAATAGAGGTTTTTGGGTTAGATCGCGTAAATATATAAATGTGTCGTTAAAACCCGCCACCACCCGACACAGCCATCTAGTAAGGGTTGTCACATAAACAGAACGTGACAATTCGTCGAGTACGACGTTTCGCCAGTAATTACAACTACTGGCGAAACGTACTCGGTTTGTAAATGTTGTGGCTTGGCTCTCCAACACACCGGTGTGCTGTACTAGTAACGAATTGGCACGTTCTGTTTACGTGACAACCCTTACTAGTTGGCTGTGTCGGGTGGTGGCGGGTTTTAACGACACATTTATATATTTACGCGATCTAACCCAAAAACCTCTCTTATGGATTTCTAATCTTGTGTTATATAGTTCATTGATGCATTTTAGGTTGAAGCAGTTAGCACGTATAGCAAAACACTGGATGTAAAAAATGCTGTCAGTTCCACGTGATTGGAGCTCCTCCCCTTCATTCCGTACCTGAAGAATCTTCCAGCACGTGGAGCGAAACGGTACAACCTGAAAACTGTGGTCATTGTTAGAAAAAAAAACGTTTCGTTTCATTATTTACTGATTGTGGTTTTTCTCTCTCTTCCCATCTCTTTCCTTCCCTGCTGCCACAACAAGGAATCCTAGCAGTGAGCGTTCTCCATAGTCACTTTCATTCCTTCTTTGCTGGGATTTTTTGCAACCTCTTTACCTCTTCGAAATATTTATTTATGGGTCAACAGTTTTGTTTTCAGCACCAGTGCCAGTATGCGTTGCCGGCGTTGGTTAAAGTATGCAGTAGCGATGGCCAACAAACCCACCGTTAATCCCTTGAATTGTGTTCGTTTTGATTCACCGTTACAGGTCCGACTTGCACTATGTTTAAGCAAGATGAGCGGAATGTCCTAGCCAATTGCAAGTGAATGAGAATGAACATAGGACTTTATAATGAGTACAATGTGTATCACACAAGCCAAATAGTATGAGAGTTGCATCCTGGTAATTGTAGTGATCAATGCATTGACACTAATGCTTTTAAAAATAGTCATTATAATGGATCCTGTGGTGTATATGTATTTCACGGTGTATATGTATATATCCTGGAGGCTCGCCGAATATTTTCTTCGAATATGACAAAATACTGGCAGATTTTAGAAGTATTACTATTATCCAGCCGAATTGAGTCGAGAACAAAAATTCAAAACCAAAAATGAGTTTCATGTATGACGGGCTGCCATGGTCATGTGACCGTGGTCTTATTTGGGGTCGGATGGGACGGGAGTAGAGGTCACGGGATAGGAGTAATGACAAGACGATAAGCACATAGTGAGAGAGAGGACACGGAGGGAGATTGAGAGACAAAGACGGGCATCCGGAAAGACGGAGATCTCGACAGGTGGCGGGAGACAGAAATATAGAGATGGGGGTAAATGAAGAGAGGGAAACGACAGGAAGAGAAAAAGAGATGAGAGGGATACAGGGAGTTGGATGTGACAGACACAGGGAGATCTGCCAGTTTATTTAAGAAAAATTTACATTTCAACACAATTCGGCTTCCAATTGGGATTCACATTGTACTTGGATAAGTATTGTAATCGGTGTTTAGCATTCAGCTGAGCAGTAAAAAAGTGCCGTTCAATCCACCGCGAGTATGTACAGCACATGACATACACAGGAGTGCCTGTAAATATGAATCGCTACCGCTTCAACAATTGCAGGCGACAGCTTGGGATGAAATTCACCCAAATGGTTGATTTTTTTTAATTGAATTGGCATATACACATGAACTGGACTCAATGTGTCCACACATTAATGTACAGTACTGTATACACACATAGTACAATATAATGTTCTACTTGGCGTATCTTACAGCGATGCCTTTCATTGCAACCCCAGCACAAAGCATGCGAGTGAATATTGACCATGCCCACACTGTGCGGAGGCCCTCATCCAACAGCGGGTTGACAAAAATGGGCTGTATGTGCAAAAGTACGCATTCGTTGACAATATCCAACTCTTTCCAAATTACACTTGTTATAGCGAGGGGCAAGTCTGATTACGTGCTGTTTACAACATTGTTCATTTGGTGATAGATTTATCCTGAGTGGTCCTCATCCCTGGGCACATGCCTTAACGTGCCTATATTGTGCCACTGCTCATGATTTCAATATAAGCACTGTGAGAAGAAGCCTTTTGGCCGTGTCACATAACAGGACGAAATCTGCCAGATTCACCGAGCGTACGTTCAGAGCGCTGGATTGCAGGCACAATACCACCCCATCCAGCACGTGTCACTACTACTAGGGTACAAGAGATGCTGCCACATCGGTGTAATAGTTAGCACACTGGCCGTGCAATCCAGAGGCCACCGCTTCGATCTCCTATCGTGGTATTGGAACCGATGGACAGGTTTCTCAAATTCTAGATTTGAAGTTTTCGTGACTGCAAGGATCCATACTCTTTGGTTCTTTCGGTAAAGTCACGTAGGTGAAAAATAAAAATCATAATAAAAATAATAAAATAAAAATAACTAAATTAAATTAATTTAGTTATTTTCATTTTTTTTAAATGAAATGAAAATAACTAAATGAAATATATTATCAAAAAATATCAAATGAAAATAACTAAATTAATGTAATTAATTTAATTTAGTTATTTTCATTTTATTATTATTTTTATTTTTCATCTACGTGACTTTACCGAAAGAACCAAAGAGTTTAGGTTTCTCAAAGCCTGCCGGTGCAGACCACCCAGCAGTATAGGTGGGTATGCCACAGTTGTTCGGTCGAAAGACCTGGACTATGAAACAAAAGCAGCCCTGTTCTATCTTTATGTGCACGTTTACATTACAATCACCTTTATCATTTCCACCAAATCACAGCGATGTGCCACTTGTTAAAAGACAAGCAACATTTATGGGAGTAAGTGAAATCGCAAGTTTAGAAATGCAAAGTAATGAGGCTTGCATCTTTGCTTTTCTGCCAGCTTTACACTGCACCGCCAAGTTACCGTTTTCTCCCACTGTTATTCAAGGTTCCGGAGCCATTTCACAGAATCAGAATCTTTATTTATCCTGGAGAGATCCGATGCGCTCTGAAGCTCTTTCACAGATGTCAGAACGTTACATCAGCAGACAATACCAAAATTCGACAGGAGTGCAAAGTATAGGAAAGGTAGACAAATCACTGAAAAAATAAAGAGACAAACGTTTCTATTTAACCAGGTAAAGGCCATTGAACTATTGTTTTCCAGAAGCGTCCTGACCACGCATGACAGCTCAACGAAGTGGCTTATCATAGACATAGATCCTGCTTGATTCTGTTGTTTTGTTATTAAAAACTTTTTTTTATTCAAGACCCAAGCAACATGTGGCGTCGCCTTACATAGAAATGCCAAGACAAACCACTGCTGTAATGGTCACGTATTGTCTCATAATGTTGCGATTTTGGTCTTGTGAATTTGACCACCCGATGAATTGCTTTGCTCGCAATGGATGCACCCTCACTGACTTATCCTCTCCACCGCCCCCTCCCCCGCCGAACAAAGCAATCGTCGCCTGCAACAAACGTGCTGCAAAAACAACGAGAGGTTACGGATTGTGTTGCCTTTTTCTTTGTCATGAAGTGTGCAATGAAATAAACGTGGCGAACACAATTTGTGAGTACGTTGCATTCATTGACACACTTGGAGAAACTGTGCATGACCACCAAATCACCAGGCGTACGTGCCGATCTTAGCAGCTAAGCAGTGGTTTAGCCTGGATAGTGCTCGGATGGGCGACGGATGCGGGGGCTGTCCTATGTGGCCGGTCAGCTGAGGGCAGTTCAACAAAATCCATTGTTGTACTGCACTTCTATGCTTTCTGCGTCTCGGCCTTAAATGGACTTACTCCTCCCTAAATTCGTGACCTCCAGCCACATTCCATCAAGATCATTAGGATCGTCAGATGGTTCATTGCTCACTGTCCCGCGGTGTCTGGGCTACACATTTGGGGGTGACGGCGCCTTTGCAAAACTCCTTAAACTCATTGCCCTTCGATGTCGGGACTTCCAAGACACAAATCTTAAAATGTCGATTTAAAAACACATCCCTAGATTCGAAGCTTTCGTGACTGCAGGAATTACTCTTTGGTTCTTTCGGTAAAGTCACGGAGAAATAAAATAATAGAATACGACGTATCGATTTCAACACAAGCAACCATCATCAGGTACGAATTAATGAGAAAAAAACAGTAAACTCAGAAATATAATGCAATACAACACAGAGAATCGGCCAACACAACGGTCAACACCCCAATTGGTTGATTACGTTCTTTCAAAGATTTCTAAATAGAAGGGGGGGATAGAGAACAATGAGAGAGTTTACTAATAGGGGTTTTCCCCTTTTTTCTGGCAACAAAACTGACACCTTTTGTTGCCAGAAAAAAAGGGGAAAAACCCTATTAGTCTATTTTGGTACTAGCAAAGGAGGTCCCATGATGAAATAGAGTCGTGTGGAATTCCTACCCATAGCGGGCGGATGACCTTGGACAATAGACTTACAAACAAGCACGGAGAAAGCAACTTCGTAGCTGATGATGGTTGCTTGTGTTGCAATCGAAACGTCGTATTCTATTAAATTTATTTTCTTTCTACGTGACTTTACTGAAAGAAGCGGAGAGTAACACATACGTGTTTAACATGGCTTTTTCTCATCAGTTATTTCCAAACGTCTTTCTCGCGCCTTCTTTTCTTGGTTGATGTTAAACTATTTCCGCATTTTCATGCATAGCGCTCTGAGAACGATTGTTTAAGGGCACTTTATAATTTAAAATTATTATTTTGCTCGCTACCTTCACCAACGCGCACAGACCAGCGTGGTGAAGTTATGGTCAATCCCCACGACTCGCATGGCATCAGGAAGCCCAAATTCTGCAATGCACC